CCCCCCCCCCCCCCCCCCCCCCCCCCCCCCCCCCCCCCCCCCCCCCCCCCCCCCCCCCCCCCTTCACCCCACCTCCGCATCCTTATCGTACCCGTCCCGCCACTCATGCCCCCACGCTCGTCAGCTTCCAAGGTGGACGCTTCCAAGACCAAGAGCAAGGCCTCGGCCAGCGCCGGGGCTACCAACCTTACTGGGCCGTACGACCCGTTTGCGAGCGGCGACCCGTTCGGCGAATCGACGACCGTCAAGAACGTCGTCCCTGTCAAGACTGAGAAGATCCACATTCGTGAGTGCGCAGGTGGCTCGTGTAAACGCGAACAGCGCTGTGATCGGCGCGGTAGAGGTGGCGAGAAGCTGTGCGCGAAGCCGACGCGTACTATGCTGTCCGAGCCTTACTTTAGGCTTCAATCCTTTGCTAGCGCCCCCCTCCTGCTCGCCCCCCATCACCTTGCTTGCGCACCGATGCCCACGCATCTGAGGCTAGCGCTGACGCCAAGGTCTTCAGCAGCGCAATGGTCGCAAGACCATCACCACCGTCCAGGGTATCCCGGACAAGTATGACCCGAGAAAGCTCCTCAAGGCCATGAAGAAGGAGTTCGCGTGTAACGGCCACGTCGTCCACAGCGCGGACTCGGACGACGAGGACAGCCCCGCCCCCGGCAAGAAGGACGAGCACGGCAAGGTTCTTCAGTTCCAGGGTGACCAGCGTGTCAACGTCAAGACCTTCCTCGTCGACTCGGGCCTGCTTTCCGAGAAGGAGGCCAAGGACCAGATTGTCATGTACGTTGAGGTTGAGTCGAGGCCAGCTCCGGCTCCGGCGACGCAAATCGATGCGAATTTGCTGACAACAGCCACGGCTACTAAGAGCCGGCAATGGGTCCTCGTCCTGCCTAGTGTGTGGCGCTGCGCGCGCTGCACTTCGAATCCTCACCACCCGCCATGTACTAGATGTCGGCAGTGTACTGTATCTGTCAGCGCTGAGAGACCCATGCATTGATTCGTGTGTGTTCCGCGCTGCCCGCGCTGGGTTGGTGGCGGAAGCGGCGAAGATTTGAGCTGTGTCATCGAAACACTGACACCTGCCGACGTTGACACTTCAATGACGCATAGATTGTTCGCTTCGCTCTGACGTAAACTTCTGCCCGCAAGTAAATATACATGGAGTGGCGACTGAGGTCAAGAGAACTCAACCTTCCACGGCATTGACGCAGCAACATAACTCATAACGATACAAGAGGATTACCTGCTGACAGACAATAACAACTGCTACAGCCGCAAGCCACCCCGCCTTCCCTCGTGCTGCATCCAGTCAACTTCGTCCTCCCCGCCGATCTTAACGGCATCCGACTCGCCCGTCGACACGCTGTCCTCGCTCCCATTCGCTTCGGTAAGCTCAAATATCTCGGCGCCCTCGGCAACCTCCTCGCGCTGCGTGAGTTTGGCATACCCCGCCTCGGCCTCATTCAACGCCGCATTCCGCCCCGAGTTCGCGTACAGATGCACGAGGAAGGTGATGACGAGGTAGACGAGGAATGAGAGGGAGAAGTCGAAAAGGGCGTACGTGACGTGGTCGATGCCGAGGGCGTCCGCGTTCTTCATCTCCTCGTGCGTTGCCGACATGAACATGATTCCGCCCAACGTGAGCAGATACGGTGGGAGGTGCTGGAAGACACGGACGGTGGGCGAGGGCGTTGGGCCGTCGTGCAGCACAAAGCAGACCTCGATCACGCGCAGGACGCCCGCGAGGATGAGCGCGTACCCGAACATGCTGTGTATCTGGGGTTAGGCCAGCGTAAACAATGCTCACCTTGGACGAGATCATGAGCTCTTGCTGGTGCGCGCTCATCCCCCACCCCGTCATGATGATGATGACGGCGGGCACGAAGCAGCGCTTGCCCTTGCGGCTGAGGAAGACACCGAGAAGGCCGCCAGCCCACCACAGCACGCCCTGGTGTCAGTATGGCAGATGAAACACTTACCATCATAGTGTGCTGCATATCCTTGTGCGTCCATGGCCCGCCCTGGTGTTCCGTGAACGTGTTGATGATGCCCCACAGGAGAATCACGCTTGAGTCGAGCATCTCCTGACTGAAGCCGCGTCGCGCAAGCCAGCCCCCTCCGACGTTGAGCATGATAACGAGGATGGCGGCGTAGCCGATGAACGCCGAGCCCATGATGTAGTGCGCGAGGCACTGGTTAATCTCGCCGCCGCGGCAAAAGCCGAGCGCCGTGACGACGCCCATGAGAATTTCTGCCGTTAGCACCTTGGCACATCGGGAGCTAGAAGAAGGTGACTCACGCGTCCATCCAATGATGGGGAACGCCATCCCCAACGGCCCATGAACGCGTCTGACCCATGGCCGCACCGTGTTCTCGAGGACATGCAGTCTGAGGAACACTCCGCACGCTGTCTGCACCATGAGAACCCAGAAGACGATTTTGGCCATGATGCTGTGTACGGTGGCCGGGAACTCGCGCCCGCCATGGTGATGCCCCAGCCAGGACCCAACGAGCGTTGCGACGACACCGACGGCTTGGACAGGGACATGAAAGCGCGATCTGTGTTAGCTTGCGCGTGGACAATACATACTTGGACAGGCCAAGAACCATGCCGATCGGGAAGAGGATGGCCCACACGAACGTTTGCACGACCATCTGGCGTCAGTGGTGACCACAACGGGGCGCACATGGGTGTACATGATCCAGTCGATGGGGACTTTGGGGTCGATGTCTACAGCGGCATGATGGCCGTGTGCGAGAGCTGGCGTCAGTGTGAATGGGGGGAGGGCGGACCTAGAGGAAGGAGCGCGACGAGCGCGAGGGGCGCGCGCATTGTGGGAGTGTATGCGATGGGCGTGTACGGGGCAAGAGGGAGAGGGAGGAGTGGTCGGCGGAGGTGTGCGTAGAGGACGAGATTAGCAACACGAGCGTTGTTGGAGCCCGAGACAAGATGGATAGACTGAACAATTCAACAAGCAACGCATGAGATTGCTGAGAAGAGGTGGCCAGGAGGTCGACGTCGCCCAGCGACGGGTCTTACGTCGGTCATCAGGGTCCGGTTCCGGTGTTCTGGATGAACGAGACGCCGAGATATTGTCTCCCATCACTCATCACCCGTCATCCTAATCGGAACGACGGGCGCGGGGCCTGCTTATGAATATGCAGAAGCGGAGGTGGGGTGTGCATGCTCGCTCGTGGTCCGCATGCACCACTTGATCGTTTACGCTCTCAGTGATGGACTGCTGGGAGATACAAGCGGAGCCTAAGAATAGACTGACCGGACCGCTGAATCAGGCACCTCGTGATACAGCGCCACATGTCGCGAGCCACGATCCAGTCAAGTGTCGCCCATTCCGCTATCTTTGCCTCTCTCTCGACTTGTCCGTGGCTGTCTGTGCACCCATGTGCAACTGCATACCTCTGGCAAGATTGTCGGGCCCTCGAACCACTCTTGTTCGTCAAGTCACTGCTCTCTCAGATGGAAATCAAGTCGTAATGTCGTTATCTATGAATACAGTAGGCGAATCTAGAAATGTACTGGCGTTGAAGCCGTGATAACAACTACTCGTCTGCGTCAGCCCAGTCGCGACGGCGACGCCGCAAGAGGGCCTCGCCGCGGGCGGCCAGCGCGCCGCCGCGAGCTGCGAGCTTCTCCCGGTGCTCTTCCCAACGACGGTTGACAGCCTCGGCGAAGCCAAATTGCAGCTGGTTCAGGTTGGCCTTGGCCTGGGGCAGGGCAGCGGCCATGTCGGACAGGGTGGGGATGGCGGGAATGGGGAGGTTGGGCATGGTGGGGATGGTAATGTTGGGGAAGAAGTTATCGCGGATCATGGTCACTGGCTGGCCTGGGGTGTGAGGTGTGACTAGAGGAGACTCGTCCGGCGTAACGGGGTTGAGGCTGGGCGTTGTCGCCTCAAGTGCTGGCGTCGTGGGCGCAAGGAGCGGAGTCTTCTGCTCCGGAACTGCGACCCAGGCGGCCTCGACCTCCTTCGCGGCTTTGGCAGCCTTGGATCGCCGGCGAAGGTACCCTCGAACCCCGCCCTGCATCCAGCTCGCGTGCAGGGTCAACGCCAGCCCAAGAATGACGGTTGGGATCCACGAGCCTTCAGTGACTGCTCGAGACGTTGGCCGCGCGCAGTCGGCAAGAAGCCATGTATTGAACAGAATTCGGGTACACATCATAAGCGTGAGGAAGCGCTCGTCCGACCGAACAGGTGGGAAGAGGTTAGAAATCGCTAGGTCAAAGGTAGGCAGCTGGTGTCAACTCATGGTCACTGCTGAAAGCCTCACCTCCATGATTGCCGCAAGCAGGAAGATGCACGACTGCTTCGACATCGCACAGTGGACCATGACGGCAATGTACACCGTGTGGTGGATCCATCCTGTGAGCAAGCCAACTTCTTCCCGATATGCGATGTATCCGACGACGAGCTGCGGTTAGAGTCGACTCTGGTGCAAGTCGCAAGGTCAGGACCAAGGAGGCTCACATCAGCTGTGTGTTAGCGAGAAGTGTGACAGGTCTTTGGATCCGATCGGCGCCAACTTACCAAAAAGGTAGGTTCCAAACGACGCCACCGCAGTGTCCGCCAACGTCTTTGTCCAGCCGTCCTCCCCGGCCGCCCAGACAGCAGGCAGTCCACCTGTAAAGTACGCATACACAAACGGGAGTGAGAAGAGAGTCATGGTGAAAGACGAAAGCGCAGAGAGGACGTAAGCGCGCTTGCGCATGCCAACAAAGTGCGGGGCAACGAGGTTGTACCACCCCACCATTGCCAGGAACAGAGGTGCGGGGAGGGTGACTGCGAGTGGCAAGTCGCGCGACAGATCGAGCGCGTCGAGCACTGCGGACATGATTGAGTTTTCTTTATTAACGAAGGTGTGCGAGGATGCGGTGTAATGTGTATGAATTGTGCTGAGATCGCTGGCTGTGGTGGGTGCGGGACACGTGCGTGACTTTTGAACGGCGCGTCGGCCGTCGGCGCGCGTCCTTGGGCGTTCCGGTGTGGGATGTTAAAATGAGCCAACTTTCGACCTCGTCGGTGATGGGAAGTACTACTGATGAGAGTTATCAAGTAGTTGACCAGGAGCGAGCTAAAGAGAGAGAGAGAGAGAGAGAGAGATGATGCAAAGGAGAAAAGAGGACGACTGAGACAGAGAAGAGCGAGCGTTTAGCGTGACGGGCAAGGCGGGGTGCGGAAGGCGTGTCACTCCGAGGAGGCGCAAGAGCAGAGGCCTCCTCCTATCCCTGCCAACCCCCCTCGTCGCCACCCAACTTGATCAGGTACTCCAGGGATCCAACCTTATCCATTCCTCCTTGCCACGTGGAACCGCGACTGGAACCAAAACTAATCCGAAGCACCTCCGATCCTTCCATGATCCATGATCCATGATCCCCATGACAGTTGAGCACATCTCACTCTAGTTCAATCCCTCTTGCCATCAGACTCTTCCGCTTGTCTCCTCCCCGCACCTGCTCGTCTCTCCTCCCAAAAGCGAATTTCAGAACGGGTTACTTCGCGATGCTACGTGTGAGCTTCTTCGTGAGTGCGCGACAACATCAGCTACGATGATCTTCCTCGAAGCCCACTCTCCCTCTGTATGCATCTATGCCGCACTCTACACCGCTACAGCTTGGCCTTTGCCAGCTCAACCCAAGCCTTACCCGCGCTCCCCGCGCCGGCTTCATACACAACACGATCGCCGTTAGGAAGGTTCTCGACGCGCTTCCCGTCCTCGTCCGTCCGGCGCATCAGCACACGCATATCCCCAATCTGTCCCGCGAGCCGCAGAACCCCCTCCCACCCTCCCTCGAGGGCCCAAGCGAGACGCGTGCACAGATAAATCTGGGCGCTGTGCATCGCCGTCCGCCCCTCGCGGATCCAACCCGGGATGCGCTCCGCCGGCAGCCAGTGCGCACCGACGACCTCGATGCCGCCGTCGCCGACGACAGCTTCTTCAGAGAGGTGCGCGGGCAGGCGTGTGATGAAAAAGTGCGTTTCGTAGCGCTTCGGCGGGCCCGGCGGCGTCGTCCATACCGTAAAGGGGATGGTGTCGGAGATCAGCGAGACGCCGAGCGTCTCAAGCGCCTCTTCGAACGATACCTCGTTGTCGTGCACACGCTTCTGAAGAGACGGGAGGAGGTGCTTGCGCTCAGCAGGGATCGGGGATGAGGAGAGGAGCAAGCCTGTCTCTTCGAAGGTCTCGCGCAGCGCCGTGTACGCTGGCGTCGGGTCGGTCGGGGAGACCGTACCCCCAGGGAAGACGAAGGCGCCGGGATATGAGAAGTGGTTTGGTCGCTTGACCATCAGCACGCGATTGCCCGAGATGACCAGAAGCGCCGCAGCCAAGCGCGGCGTAACGGCCGCGCCGGGATGGTCCTTGGAGCGCGGCTTTGAGCTCGATGGCGCCATGTTTGTGGGTGGGTGGATTTGTCACGCCGTTGCTGGTTCGCAGATTCGTGCACAGATGGGAGTTGCACCGCTGGAGATGGGACGATGAGAAGTGGGGATGCGGTAGCGATGTTGAACTCTGAGATGGGCTGCCGGGTGGGTGGGCACGACCAACCGGCCGGTCGGATACAGCCGGTTGTGTATTGCCTGCAATTGCCGACGCAAACATATAAAGTCAAGCACTTCCCTTCAATTTTCTGCACCTCGACTTGTCCACACCGCCAGCACTCCATTCCTAATCTGATATCGCTGCAAAGACCGTCTAGGCCAGCAGCCCCTGTTAAGGTCGAGGCGAGCAATTTAGAGACCGGGATGGCGGGACGCGCCGCTGCGATGATATCTTGGTCTCGCGTCATTACTCGGTGTCGCCCGAGCACAGCCTTCACGCTCGCAACATAATGATGAAGCACAACTACAAGGCAGAGGAAGTATTGCGGGTGCGCCGAGCTTGAAACCTGTCCCGACGCATACTCCGCGACTATGCGGGCGTAGCTCGCATCAGCGCCTTGAAGCTGAAAGCGCTGGGTTGATGAACAACGGCAAGCCTTCAGGCACGTATGATCAAAGCGATAAGCGTACGCGTCCCTCACCTGGCGCTGTGGCCTGGACATCTCCCTGTCGATTGTCTACCGCGTACATAACTGCTCGCCCATATGGCTCCGCAGGAGACGTGCCCTCTCGCATCATCGAGTGTTCAAAAGCAGAGAGAACGAGAGCGTCGCGTAGGAGCGCGTACCATCCACGAGACCAGCTGTGGTCTCGGGGGTGATATGCGCATCTACGCTGCGGCCTCGGAGGGATTTTGGCAACGCAAGAACGAAACGTTGGCGGTAGAGTTGTTGCGGCCACAATAGGGCTCGCCCCACATCTCAGCACCCGAAGCAATCGCTGGTTGGACTCCGCATTTCTATTACTCGCTATTTGCCCATAAAACTCCCCTCATCCTTTGCATGGCTTGTGGACGTCAGAGACGGCCGTGATGCACCTCCACTTGCGGTGACAACATCTCTCAACAACGATGAGGTCATAGTTTACATCCAGCTGTCCGACTCTCACATGGCTCCAGACTGGCCGACGACGGGAGCGGGGACAAGCCATGATGTCATCTTCATCCCACAGCCTCGTCCATGTAAGAAGCGATCGTCGGGCCTCATCCCTCTCACTCTTCCACCCTCATCACAACTGACAAACGCAATGCTCGCCCCCGCTCGTCTCTCCACTCGTGTTGCGGCTCGCCGCCTTCCTGTCCTCACCCGCGGCTACGCGGCGCCCCCTCCCCCGCGTGACCCCAAGCGCGACCCAGCTGTTGATGAGGCGCTCCACGCCCAGGCCCAGGCGGGCCGGAACGCGCCCTCGGGCGGCGGCGGCGGCGGGACTGGTATCGCGGTCATGGCCGTGCTCGCCGCAGCCGGTGCAGGCGCGTACTACTTCTACCAGAACTCCGGGACGCACAGCGTCGAGTACGAGGCCCGTCAGGCTGCCGAACACGCCGGCCAGGCCGCTGTGAACGTACGTCCACTCGCTCATGCATGAACGGAAATTATGACTGACGCTCAGGCCAAGGACAAGGTTGTTTCTGAGGCGCGCGGCACGGCCGATGACCTGGACAGCGCGGCCCGTCGCGCCCGTGACCAGGCGTACGCTAAGGGACACGAGATTGGCCGCGATGCACGTGCCGCCGGCCACCAGATCGGAGCTGAGGCGCGCCAGTTCGGCCGCGATGTGCGCGATGCCGGGCGCGACGTGCGCGACACCGGACGCGAGATCGGACACCAGGTGCACCAGGACGCGCGCGACTTGAAGGGGCAAGCAGCGCATGTGGGACAGCAGCTCGGCGACCGCGCGCAGCAGCTTGGCCATGAGCTGTCGGCGGAGGCGCGCTCTGCCGCCGACCAGGCGAAGGCTAAGCTTGCTGCGGCGGGGCAAGCTGTCAAGGGCACGTTCCAGGACGCGGAGCGCAGCGTCGAGCGTGGCATCAACACGGCCGAGAGCAAGGTCCGCGACAGCATCGGCACTGCCACCGACGAGGCCGGCGTTGTCGCCGGCGTCGTGCCCCAGCGCACCAAGTTCTTCGGTATCCAGCTTCGGTGATCTTGTCTGTAGCCTTTAATGCATGTTCTAAAGTGGGACTATGTCCATGTGCGCCGAGCACGCCGAGGAAAGTGATCACGTTACAGACATAATTGTTGCGCGGTACATCTGAAAACGCCGGTGTTTAATCCCTGGACGGAAGGGTTTGATGGCTTTCAAGCCACCCTGACATATTGTCCAAGTCAGCGTTTTCCACGCACCCCTCTTCGCTATCTTCTCGATTCCGGCACGGCAAGCCGACAGCGCCCTCGCTGCCCCGGTATTGGCGCGAGCTCCGATGACTTCATCGCCGAGGACGAGCCTGACTACCACGCCACTGACAACTCAAAAGTGGTTTGCACCCCAGTAATTAAGAGCGTCACGAACGCCACATCGACGAGTCTGATGTCATCAGCTCGTGCTCCCACCAGTCCAGCACTCCACTTTACAATGTATATAAGGAGCTCTGCACCATTCGCTGGTTATGGACCATATCTAACCACTCACTGCTCACAACCATGTTCGCCCCTACTCGCCTCACCACCCGCCTCGCCGCGCCCGCCCGCCGTGCGGCTGTCATGCGCTACTCTTCCTTGCCCAAGGACGCACCGCAGCCTCAGGCCCGGGCGAACGAGAACCAGCGCGCCACAAACCTCACCGACATGCCCCAGAGCAAGAACTTTTACGGTGAGTTCTCGTTGGGAGCGCTGGGAGCCCCAAGCCTATCTGACCGCAGCCAAGGTCCTTATCCCTTCCCTCATCGGCGCCGGCCTCGTTACCTACTACTTGATGATGTCTGGCGCAAAGTCCGCCGTTACGGAGGGCAATGTGGGGCTTAACAAGGAGCAGACGGCGCAGAAGACGGCTTCGGTATGTTTGCGGACGTGACAACGCTGACAACAGGAACAGGAGAAGCAGTACGACCACGCGTCGCGCGTCGCGGAGCAGCAGAAGGTGCACAGGGAGGGCGGTGGTATCCCCAGCGCCAAGGACGGCCGCTAGTGTACTCTACCAGACAAATAGCGAAACGACAATGTGTAGAATATGCAGAAGTGTATTGGTAGACACTGCAGCCTCGCACGGCCAAGTTGGAGCAGGGCTGGGCCCATATCCAGTCTCATGACGTTGCGAGTTCCACAAGCTTGAAGTCGCGTGGACATGCTGATGAAGCATGGGAGTGACTGAGACTGAGGTTGACGCTTATCACGGGCCGAGAAGCAGTGCCTGGTGACCCAACAACTGCAAACTCCCGGTCGCGGTTGCAGCAATCCCTCCATATATCCATAGTGCTTCTCACAATCTTCTCGCGATACCGCCGGAGTTGGTTTGATCATGCCTTGTCATCGAAACGACTTCGCAGAGGGAGTCGTAAGTGCGCAGGAAACCTTGACTGTCCGCGGAGAAGAGCCCAGCAGGGCGCTGACGTCATCCGTCCTCACCATAGCTCAGTTGGTAGAGCGTCGGACTGTAATTTGATACCTAGCCCCTCGATTGAGTGGTGTACATCCGCAGGTCCTGTGTTCGACTCACAGTGGTGAGAGTGCTTTTTGGCTGTTATACTTGAGACCGGGACAGCCTTGACCAACCCGTTCATTACCTAGGGAACGAGGTTCCGTTGCACGGTAGCGGCATGTGTAGACATGTCTACGACCACATGTTATGCAGCCTGAACGGCAGCAGTTGTTATGAATGCCCGGTGTGGTGCGGCCGTCCTCGTAAGATCTGGGACAACATCGACGAGCGTCCAGGATGACCACACCATTGTCACACCATGGACGTGCCTGATTACATGGGCGAGCAATATGCTGATCGCACTGGACTCTTGAGAGGCATGAGAGGAGATGTTGACGAGAGATGCAGCATCGTGTCTCGTCCCACATGTGCACGGACATGTGCTCCTGGCCTTTTGTCGTGTTTGGTTCCTGTTCAGGGGCATTAGGGGTATGACGTTAGCATATCACCTCACGCGTTTCTGTTCCATGAAACACTCCACAATACCACGCGTCCATCAGGCGATCAAACACAGATTCCCCTGGCAAGGTCAGTGCACCCAGCAACCTTGTGTGCAAACATCCTTCGTCTTGGGACGTGCATGACTACCCCGCCCCCTGTCGACGCACTTGGATGCTCAACCCCAAACCTCGGCGTCCGTGACGGAGAGCTTCTGGACTCATCGCGAAACGTCTCGGATGCGTCCTAGTGCCTGTGTCCCGAGATGACCCAGACTGCGTCCTCCAGGACAGCCGATTCTGGTCGTCCAAACGCACACTCAGCGCACCCCTGTGGTCCCCCCTTACTTTCCGTCCATTTGCGTACTTTGCATGGTTGTTTCCATAGTTCGACAACCGAAGATGTCGCCGTGCAGTGCACCGACATCACGACGGGCTTAACGGACGCACGCGCTCTACTCTCACTGCTATCGTTACTGCAACGGGGGTATCGGCAGCTCAGACTGGCCGGTGCTTCGGGTACTTAACAGCGGTGCCCAGCGCTCGCAAAACAGCCCATCCATTCCATTCCTCATCCTCTCTTTCCTTTCCGGCGCGTCTAGACGACCGCACCCACACTCGTTTCCGCCTCTTACATTTGAAGCTGGTCTTCCAACATGCTCGCGGCTACGATTACGGCGGCTGTGCTCGCCACCTTGGCTAATGCCCAGTGAGTAGTGTGACGAGCACGACGATCATCTGGTCTGACTGCAGCAACTCGCCCCACCACCCGGCCATGTTCGGCTTCGACTACCCCAAACAGTCGGAGTGGCCGTATGGTGGAGAGTCGGGTGCCAACCCGCCCGGCTGCGTCTGGGACTCAGCGCGCGCCAAATGGCCCATCCGCGAAGACGAACGCCGCTCTGAGTCGTTTTGGCTCAGCAACGGTCTGCGTGACTACCCACCCCCCGCCGGGGTTTTCCTCGAGGTTGAGAGCGGCGGCTCTCTGACTCGTGAGTACACTTCGAGTGCAAGCTGACCGCAGTTGACCTGAACGAGAACCGAGCCTACACGCGCTGGCGCTGGCCGGAGAGCAGAAATCCCAACGCCAAGTGGGCCGGTCAGACCGAGGGGACGCTGCACACGGTCAACAACTTTGACCAGCCGGCCAACATTACCCTGTTTGGCGGCACGGCGCTCGCCATCGCTTACACGTCCGACGAGAAGGCCGTGCGCGGCGCCGACCTCACCGTCATCTCGACCGACTGGGCGTCCCCGTGGCTCGCCCTCGCGTCCTACCCCCTGCCGAGCGGCCTCCCGCCCTGCCCGCCCGGTGGATGCCTGTGTACCTGGAACTGGCTGCACACGGCCGGCAACGAGCGGCACAACCCGAACCCTGGCGCCGGCCGCCCCAAAGGCGAGGGCTACGGCGACGAGCTGTACAATAACCTTTTCCGCTGCCTCGTCACCGGCGCCTCGAACCCCAATAACATTGTGCCCAAGGGCGCGGTGCCGACGCAGTGCGACGGCGAGGGCGAGACTGGCGGCAGCCGCAGCAACTGCACTACAGGCCCCAAGACGCCCATCATCGCTTGGATGGCCGACGGCAACAACGTCTTCCCGCCCAAGGACAAACATGCTCGCGCGAAGTGGCGCAAGCCCTCGTACACCTGGCGCTACGGGTTTTCGGACGGCGCACAGCAAGACGCCGTCGTGCCCAGGGGCCAGGAGGCGACCGCAAACGGTGTTGGCACCGTCAGCGACAAGCCTCGCCCCAACCCCTTTGAGCCAGGCAAGGGCGGCCTGGCTGTTGTGAATGCTCGAGGCGAGGCTCTCTGGCCCGGTGCGCTCCACGCCGGCACTATCGTCGACCTGAAGCGTAACGGTCACGCGATCGGTTCCGCCAACGCTACCGCCGGGGGCTCAGTTGGTGATGCCAAGCCCTCCAGCGGCGTCAAAGTGCAGTCAAACGTGGCAGTAGATGGCGCAGGGTCAAACTCCACCGCCCCAGGTATGAGTAACGTTCACATTGTCGGCGATGAGATCATTACCTCTGCTGCTTCCGTATCGGCGGCCGCTGCTTCGAGCTCAACTGCTCATTTCGGCTCCGCCGCCAGTCCTTCGGGATCAGTCGCTGCTGCCTCCGCGTCCGCTGTTGCTGCCTCGGGATCGGTCGCTGCCCTTTCGAGCTCTACCACTCCTTTGTTTGCCTCTGGCCCGGCCGCCTCTTTCGCAACCCCTGCGGCTGTCAACACCAGTGCCTCGAACTCTGGCTCAACCCCGGCAGCTTCCAGCCTCACCGTCTACGTCGCAGGTACCAACTCAATCACCCTCTCTGCCTATGCGACAGCCAGCGCCAGCCCCACTGGTGCCAACACCACTGGCGCCGCCGTCTCGATTGACTCGAATACCCTTAAGCCGAGCGGCAAGACCAAGTGTCTGCGCCGCCGCAAGCGCCGTCTGGCGTCCCACTAATCTCCCAGGATCTCCTACCTCAGTCTATACGCGAGGAGGCCGTATGGCGAGCTGATACGCCATTGTACGTTGCGTGTTGTCTGTTTGTACTCGCTGGCGATGTACACTCTGTTTGCAGAGTTTGGAAGAGTTTGGAAGTGGATGTGCCTGAATTGCGGATGAACGCCAAGATCCGCGGGCGGCAGATCCGGCCATGGCCGACAGGAAATGATGTGCAAGTCAAGCGCCCAGAAATTCTCATCTCGCACCGCATCTTCACCGCTTCAACAGCAATGAGCAACGACTTCAACGCGCTGCTCGCCAAAGTCGCCTCGCATCTGGCCGAGCGCGACGCAGCTCTCTCGACTCTTCCTGTTACGCCTGGCGCTGAGGCGGTCGCCGCCGCTGTCGACGCGCTCCCGCCGGCTCTCCCGCAAGCTGGGCTGGGCACGGGCGCGACGCTCGACTATCTCCTTTCCTCGGTGCTCCCTGGCTGCCTCACGGCGCAGAATGGGCCGCGGTACTTCGGCTTTGTGACGGGCGGCGTGACGCCGGCGGCTCAGCTGGCTGACATTCTCGGCAGCGGGTATGACGAGAACGTCCAAGTCACACTTGGGGATACGAGCGCGGCGACCACCGTCGAGGCGCGCACCCTCGAGATGGTGCTGGACCTCCTCGAGATTCCGCGGGAGACGTATGCTGGGCGTACGATCACAACGGGCGCGACGGCATCAAACATTCTTGGGCTCGGTAGGTGAACCACAACAGTGGCGCAGCGGAGCAGCACCGTCATTGTGCAAACAAACGTTCACAGGCTAACCCCAGCGTGCGCTCGTGAGGCACTCTACGCTGCATCACCATACACGTACGGTGATTACTCGTACGCCGCCAGCGGACCGCCCCCCGGTCTCCCAACACCCCCTATCGTTGTCCTCGGCCTCCACCCCCACTGGAGCATCAAGAAGGCTGCGGCCCTCGTTGGCCTCGGCAACGGGCCGAGTGTGTTCCACTCCCTCCCTGCCGACGCCGACGACGAGCTCGCTCCCGACCTATCCGCCCTCCGCGGCCGGCTCGTGGCCGAGCGCGCGATTGGTCGCGGCGTCATAGTCACTTACGGCCTCGGCGAGGTCAACACTGGGGGCTTCGGCCGCGGACTCCCTCAGATCGCCGCGCTGTGCAGACAGTACGGCGCGTGGCTGCACGTCGACGCGGCCTTCGGCGGCTTCGCGGGCGCCGTCCCCGAGCTCCGCCACCTCGTCGAAGGCATCGACTTGGCCGACTCACTCACCCTCGACGGACACAAATGGCTCAATGTCCCCTACGACTGTGGACTGTTCTTCACTCGCGATGCCCGGGCCCTTCCTTCCTTCCTTGGCCCCAGCGCAAGCAACACGCCCGCCTACCTCGCCGCTGACGACGCTGCCATCCCCTCCCCTCTGACGATGAACATCGAGAACTCGCGTCGCTTCCGCGCCCTTCCCCTCTTCGCGAGCCTCCTCTCCCTCGGCAAGGACGGCTACGCCGATATCGTGCGCCGCAACGTGGCATTCGCACGCCGTGTGGCAACATATTTGGCCTCGCACCCCAGCTACCAGCTCCTCAACATGAGCCCGGAGTGGCTCGCATCAGGCGCGCCTGTGCCGCTCAACATTGTGCTGTTCCGCGGCGCGCCGGGGTCGCGCTTCGACCCCGAATCTGCCGACGCGCATACCCGCCTCACGGCTGCCATCAACGCCACTCGCAGGATGTACGTCTCCGGCTCGCAGTGGGGCGGCAAGGGCGCCGTCCGCCTCGCCGTGAGCAACTGGCGCACAGGCGACGAGGACTGGGAGATCGTGCGGGCTGTGCTCGACGAAGTCACGGCATAATGTACATTTTGGGATCGAGAACCTTGCTATGGCTTACTACCGGCGCGAGTTGACGATTTGCGACTCGAGACGCGCGCGCTCCTCGGCACCCACCTGGTGTCAGCCCGCGCGTAATACCACTCACAACTTCGCGCTGCAGTATGAGCTGCCGCGTGTCGGCGTCCAACTTTTTCTCGCTCTTGTACCACGGAATAAACGCAGCGCCCGCGATGGCAGCTACCACGGCAACGAGCATAAGGGCTAGCATCAGCGCCACCCGAACTCAACCTCACTCTTTGAGCTACCGGCCGCCTTGGGCGGCGGCGGCAGGGGGATTTCAGGGCGTGGCGACTGGCCCGCCTGTGGTGCGGGCTTCGTTGCGTAGGTGCGTTCCTCTAACGGAGGCTCCTGTCCGCGCGGCGTGTTCTCGCCCGCAAGCGTCGTGCCCGTGTAAGTCCGCTCCGAGGGAGTTGGGAAGGGCGGCTCCTGTCCCTCAGGCGGATCGGCTCGTGCAACGTATGACCGAGCAAGGGTCGCGCGGAGAGGGCGTGCAGGACGAGAGGCAATGCGAGCGCGGGACAGCATGGTGTGAGAAGTGTGGAGTGTTGGGTCAATGGTCGTTAGACTATATACTGAGACTGTTTCGTGAGAACTGGTAGCGATCCGGTCATGTCGTCATATCGCCCATTGCTCATATCAGGAGCCGAATCCTATTAGCCACACCTCGTCCATGATCACATGTCAAAGTTTAGAGATCGAATTGCTGGCATGGTTTCACAACGACGCTTGGGTTTAAACAACCACTCTGGCGCCACTGGTACTGCTGCCGCTTTACTCATCCCGCGGCTTGTTTACCGCTTGTCGTCCGCCGTCGGCTACCATTAATACAGTCGTAAGCCAGACTCACTGCACGATTCTCCCTCACAACCGGTACCATCTCCTTTGCCTGCTTCTTGACGCTCCTCTCCCACGGAATAAAGTACGCCACGCCAAAGGCAAGGGTGAGCAAGCCGACCATCATGAACGCTGCAGTGAGCCCCTGCTTTACCTCTACTCACGGCGCGAGCGCGTGTTGGGGTTGCTAGGGATCTGGGCGCCCGGTCCCCCAACAGGCTGGTTGTGCGGCTCGAACGGTGCACTTGCAGGCTGTCCGAAAGCGTGCTGCGGCGGAGGCTGGGAGTTAGGGCGCGGTGGCTGTGGCGGTTCATGGGAGGGGGTTGGTGGCGGGGGACGTGCGGCGAAGCCGCGGGTGGCGACGAGGGCGGCGCGAGGGGCGGTGGCGCGAGGGGGAAGGCGGAGCATGGTGTGGCAGTCAGAAACCCGCAAGAGCAGCGCTGACATGGTCTCTTATATCCTATCAGTCTGAGTAATGGGTGTACATGACATGGCTGATGGCGTCACGCCCCGCATCTCCGTCATGGCGCGCATCGCGACTGCCATTCCGCTCAAAATATCACAGTGGCGCGCCGCTGAACGCATCCGAGGAGCCAGTGCGATGCATGATTTCCGTATTTACCCTATCAGACGAGACGTTTTGATGTCGCCGGGTTCGGCTTGAGTATGTACTGCCCGTGCTCGTTCCGCCCCTCGATGTACTTTTCACCGGCCTGGCATTAGTCCTAGTCCTGAGTGCTGCAGCTTTGAATTGCCTCACCCGCTCGCGCTCGATAAGGATCGCTTCGAGAGCTCGCGTGTCCTGCTGCACACTCCTGTACCACGGGACGTACGCCGCGCCTAGAACGCCGCCGAGGACGAAAGTGAGGAACAGTTCTGCGATCAGCACATACATTGCCAAGTGCAACTCACTTGCAAAGGTACGCTTCTTGGGTGGTGGGGGCGGCGGTTGGTAAACCGGCTCGACACGGGGTGGAGGAGGCGGCGGCTCCTGGCGGACTGGCGCAACCGGAGGAGCTGTAAAGGGCGCCTGCACGGCCTCTCCTGGGAGGGGGGGCTCCTGTCCGCGCGGTGGCTGGGGCGGCGTGATGGGGTAGGATGTCTGCTGCGCCGTCGCTGGGGTTGGGAACGGTGACTCCTGGCCCCACGTTGCGTCGTGTGCGGCGGGCATGGCCTGCGGCACCGGACGAGCCGGGATCAGCGTGGGGTGAGCGACGGGGTCCGCGATGGCGGGATTGACGGGGGCAGCCTCGAGCGAGCGGGGCGCTGGTGGCACACCGCCAAAGGCGGGGCGCGGAGTTGTGGGTATAGCGGAGGGGCTATCCTCGTCCGTTGGGAGGGGTGGCTGCTCGCCGCGCACGGACGGGGCGTTAGGATACATCGGCGGCACGGTTGGGTCCTGTGGCGTCGCCTCGGTCGGGAGAGGCGGCTCCTGGCCGCGCACGGGCTGATCGTGGGCCGAGGGGAGCGGGCGCGTCGTCGCGTACAGACGGGACGCCCGAGCCGCTGTCCTCCAAGCTGCAGTGGGACGTGCGTGCAGGCCGAGGCGTTGGACAAGCATTGTGAGATGGATGATCGTGAGTGGTGCGCGGCACGAGTATTTGAGGATGAGTGTCAACGACGTCATCACGCATCATCACGGGATCGACGACCAGGCTGGCCCAATCGCGTCTCCAACGCGTCTCCCGCCACAATGACTTCCGTGCGCTCTCAGGTGTGACTTTCCGTGTGGACTAAACTAGACAGACTATACATATAGACAATGAGCGCGCCGACTGCGGGTACGCCGCCTGTGCGTTGCCTGTGCGCCGCCAGTGCCTTGCCGTGCGACTTCTGCATCTCACGCCAGTTAGTGCGTGATTGACCGCGGCTCCTGTTCGCAGCTTCTTGATCCCTCTCACACTAATATAACTTCCCCTCCAACTCGTGGTAACCCCCTGTGATGGCCTTGCCTCCCCATCCTGTCACGGGTTGAGTCGACCTCCCCTAGCTCTGCACCTTCTGCTTGGCCTTGTCCGGATTCATCCCGGACCACATGAAGTACGCGACGCCGCCCGCAACGATGGCCCCTGCCCAGGTCGCGTACCCTAACTGTCAACACGACGTCACACTAAGCGACTCACGCATCTTCAGCGATCGCCGCTGGAGCCCCTCTGACTCTCCTGGGAAGCGAGGGTCCACACCTTCGATGTCTGGCGCTCGGGAGTCGCCCTTCGAGGAGATGCAGCGTAGGCCAACCTGAGCGCGGAGGGGGCGCGAGGCCTTCATTGCGATAGCTCCGACACGGGTGGTGGAGAGCATGCTGTATTTGGTTGCAAAAGTTGTGCGGGTGATGTCGAGTAATCTTCAGTCTTGAAGAGCAGTGTGAAGAGCGGTGTCTTGTGCTGGGACTTCGCCGTAGTCATGGACCTCTTATAGCTGACATCCACAATCTGCATCGTCGCCTCGCCTGTCCGCTGTGGAGCTCTAATGATGTCAGTTCGGAACTTCGCTGGGTGTGATGGGAACGTCTCGAAACCCAGGTTCAATCAACGGCGTCGCATGGGAAGTTGAGTGGGGTCCGCTTGGCTCAGGCTAACAATTGGCTCGTAATAATGCGGTAGACACTAGTGTCTGATGTCAATGACAGGACTGTCTGTCGTCAGTGGCTGCAGCAAAGGGCGTCCGTTTGTGCTGTGCCAAGTCTGACACTGATATCCATTCAGCGATCTCGGAGTGGAGTTAGTGAACTTCACCCGTGCATTGAAACAGAGGCGGAATGTGTATGATACGGATCGAAGTAATGCTCAGTTTATGATAGGGACGTCACTACTCTGGCGCGCCTCCGCATCCCGCGCGGCCTCGCGTTGCGCCTCAGCTGCGGCATTCTCATTTGTGGCCACGACGTTGGACATGCGATCGTGGCGGAACAGGACAGCGAAGGCGATCCCCGATGCGGCGATCACCGCCGAGGTGAAGAAGAAGCTGTCACGCGAACGCTTCCAGTCAGCCAGCGCCACACTCTGCTCTGCTGGATTGGTGTGGGAACCAAGGAAGCCCGCCTGCGCGGCATTGCCGATCGCGGCGCCAACTTGAAAGAGCACCTGGACGAAGCTACCTGCGACCCCGGCAAACCCTTGGGGGAATGTCTGGATGAGATTAGTGTTCATGACGACGTAGATAGTCATTGCGCCAGTGGTGCCGATAACCTGGCTGGGGAAGATGTCTCCCGTTAGCTGTGGAGGCCCGTGGGCTTACATCGCCAGTAGTCCTTGCCATGACCGCCACCTGAGAAGGCGAGGAGAATGCCGGAACCAAAGCACAGGGCGCTCGCAATGGGCACGGAGTACCTTGGTTTCTGGAGGAGAACTGTGGCTTGTTGCGCCACGCCTCCGACGAGACACGCCGTGATGCCCATGGGGAGGATTTTGACACCCGTGATTATGGCAGAATCACGCAAAACCACTTGGAAGTATGTCGCCATGCGAAGCTGATAAGGCGCGTACCCTTTAGTTAGCCCCGACACAGGTACGGCGCACAGAGGAAGAGCGTAAGGCCGGAGAGAACGAGCGGTGCGATGTTTGGGAGGTGCCACAGTCCATGCGGGAGCAGGGAGAAGCCGACAGGAAGCCGGTCCTCCCACAGCAGGAAAAGTGGAAGGAGTACAAGCGAGATGACGAGCGGGGCAATGAAAAGCGGATGTCTCCATCCCTGGCCTTCAACTTGCGTCCACGCCAGCATGAAAAGCACCAGAAGAGCCAGCAGAAGATCGGCGCCAAGCACATCCATGCGCTTCCATTTGTCCACTCCTCGCATCGACCGGACAACGGGTTGAACGCAGGGGAGCATCCAGAAGCTCAGCCCCGAAAGCGGAATGATGATCATTGCCACACTGAATTAGCACTGCGGTGAGGGGGACTCACAAGCGGAAGTACCACCTCCATGAGGCAACCAGGAACCCTCCGGCGATAACAAAGGCGACCGTGTTCGCAAGCGCTCCCGCCAAGGAGTAGTATACCAGCGCCCCTGCCTGTTCCTTGCGGTTCTGGTACATCTGCACTAACATTAGCTAAGCCCCAGTTAGTCGTACCGATCATGTTGACACTCGACGGGAGGGTGAAGACCGCGAAGACGGCGCTTGCCGCCCGCAGCACCAAGAACGCATACTTGTTGTTCATGAACGATATGACGAGGTTGAGGATACCGCACCCAAGGAAGCCTGCTGTGAATACCAGGCTCGGAGAGTAGAGGTCTGACACGCGTCCGGCGAACAGGAGGAGGGCTGCGAAAGGGATGCTGTACGCATACACGACCCAAATGCTGTTACCGATGTCGAGGCCGAGGTCGGCGGCGATCGGCGCCGTCATGATGAATGCTGCGGAGGTTCCTGCCACATCCATGAAGACAGCAAGGCACTGTGTCAACCAAAACAACGGCAAGCTCACGAAGCAGAGTAGGAGCGCGCTCTTCTGTCGCGCTGGGAGGGGGTCGAGGACATTGACGAGAGCCGGGTCGGTGTCGGCGATCTCGAGTTCTGCCATCCTTTGCTTAACGCTGCCAGGGAGAGAGGCGGGTTGGTCGACGTTCATACTGGGAGGCTGCGATGATGTCCTCTCACTATGTGACTTTCGGCTTATATGTATCTGACAGAGTTGTAGCCCACGGCAGGCGTCATTCGTCCTACACTCCGAGAGTGCTCCGTGCCACTCTCCACTTTCAGCTCCACTTGCTCCCTCGCGCCGACTGTCGACGTGGCAAGTGGACTCCCCACCCCCTGGCAGAGAGGCGCGCTTTAGGAGAGCATACACTGACAGTATGGACAATGGTGCATGTCGTAGGTTTGGAGCACTGTGTCACTTGGCGAAGACGAAGAAGTTTGCATTCTTTGACGATGTGAGATGCGTGCGAGCGAGATCGGAGCCGCCAGCCTCGGAACCTCGCCTCATCCGGAGTCCGTAGCACCTCCACGTCGATACTTCGACATCCACGTCGACGGGCAAGCGGCATCCGTGGAAGCTGGTGCATGCATTGTTATGTGGGTACTCACCACATGCCGTGATATGAGTTTTGCGGTTGACCACACCGTCCGAGCTTGGGCGATTGGCGTCAATGAAGATCACGGATTCCCTTGTACATACCCTAGGCAGTGGTGCAATACGACCCACAGCGACTACCCAAGTTGATGGCGTAACACACGAGTACGATTCGACCTTCAGCAGTTCGGAGTCCGCAGTGGTCCAAGTCAGCATGCCCAAACATGACCGGCTTAGCGGATAGTCTGGAATGTCTGGAACAACGGAGGGTACCGAACTTTGCGCCTTTGCGTCATCATCCCGGCATGATCCTGAGTGACCTTCACAGATCCGCGGCAGGCCAGCCCAGTCAAGAACTGCATGGCAATATGTTATACAAAATATGTGAGGGCTAATCGAGATGTCCATTATCGCGTCGTGAAGCTGATTGAGCTTTTTGAAGTGTTGATGCGCTTTGCGCGCACGAGTTGCTCCAGAGGAGGTGAGGGAATAATCAGGGACTGGCTCGACTCCGTGTGATGACAGACACGGGACTTGAAAGCCTACTTTTGCGGCGTGACGCGTTACTGTCCGACAGACAGCGGGAGGCATGTGAGGGAGGAGTTCTCGACAGCTGAGATCAGCTTTGCCCCGACGGGATGCTTACCTAGATCAGCAGGACGGGCAGTGCGGCGGCGAGGAGGGGGAGAAGGTACAGCACTGCGGCGCGACGCGATCCGCCACTCGCTGTAAAGCAGCGATATGAGGAAACGTTTTCATCTGCCAGGCTTGTCGTGAGCTCCGTCGTGTCTGCGTCCGTCGAGTTAGGCGGCAACCTGCACAGCCAAATTTCGTCGTTCTCTCCGTCCTTGGGCGCGAGGCTGGGCACGCCTCCCGATGCTCGGCACTGGAGCGCGGCCTCCCGGCTGAAGTCGGTAAGGAAGCACCCCGCAGCAGGGTAGCCGAAAGCCTGAAGGAGCGAGTTGTACTGGTCGTTCGAGAGCTTGAGCGTCTTGTCTGCCATGCGGGGCAGTAGAGTTGGACAGGGGTGAGGGCAGAATGATGGGCGATGGAGCAAACTGGAATCAGAACTAGCAGGAAAGAGCGATGAAATAATACAGAAGAACATGCCCACATCTGCTGTCCATATATTCACAAGGCTACAAGAGTGCTGCGCGCAAGGCAGGAAACACCTGAAAGCGGCGGTGGTGGCTGAAGCATCTCCGTAGCAGCTTGGCGCCGATGGGGTCGCAGCGGGAAAGTAAGCTCACGAAACTGTGGTAATAGACGTAAACCATGCCATGGCCACCCCAGATTTTGTGCTGGTCCTGAGCAGGTCCGGCCTACTCTACTGGAAGTGCTCGCGTCATTTTACGATCCCTTCACAGATGAGATGATGTTCCGGTATGCATTTTGCATGTGCCTCTGCTCGGGACGGATACGGACCTGAATTTGTGGTGGGCCGGTCCGCCCTCGGCACCCGGTCGGTGAGGGTCCAGGCCCGCGGGATCTAGACAAGCATAGGCTCGTCAATCAATTCTCGTGCCCCTATTCTAGATGCTTGGAGAGGACTGCGCCTATCCGCCAACGATTCTGGCGTCCCAGGACTGCCATATATCGAGTCTTCCGATCTTGACATGACTCAGACGTGTTGCACTTTTACATACTGCTGGTCTGCTACCACTGAACATCATAGGACGACAGCTCTTAGAGCTTGGAGGAGAAGGCAATGCTAGCACCGCCGTCAATGACGACGCCAGTGCCGGTGCAGTGGGCGCCGGCGCGCGACGCAAAGTAGAGCGCAAGGCCGCCGATATCCTCGGGGGTGCCGACACGTCCCGTGGGCTGGTGACCCTCGAGGAGGTCGCGGTTGTTCTCAAGGCCGAACGCGGTCATGCGCGAGGGGAAGACGCCGGGGCAGATGGCGTTAACAATAACGTGGTCCTTGGCGAGCGAGGCAGCGAGGACACGGGTGAGGTGAAGGGAGGCTGCCTTCGAGGGCTGGTACGAGTAGGTGCCGTGGCCCTTGGCGGAGAGCGAACCTTCGGCAAGAGGCGAGATGGCGGCGGTCGAGGCAATGTTGATGACCGACGCGGGGTTGAGGTTGCCCTTACCGGCCTTGAGGAGGTCAAGGAGTCCGACGGTGAGGTAAAACTGCGACTTGACGTTGAGGGCGAACACCTTGTCCCATCCGCTGGCCTCGGGGAAGTCGGCCATGGGCGCACCCCAGGTGAGGCCCGAGTTGTTGACAAGGATGTCGACGCGTTGCTCGCGCTTCTTGATTTCCGCAGCGAGGGCGTCGCAACCGGCCTTGTTTGCAACGTCGGCCTGGATGGGGAGGCACTGGCCACCGGAGTCCTTGCCGAGCTGCGAGAGCTGCGCAGCAACACGCTCAAGGTCGGCGAGCTTGCGCGACGCAATATACACCTTCGCACCGTTGCGCACGTAGGTCGCGGCGATCTTCCGTCAGCTCATCGTCGCTCAACGCTGTCCGAACCATCTTGCCAATTCCAGTAGCCCCTCCCGTCACCAAAGCGACCTTGCCGCGGAGGTTGAAGAGGGTGTCGATGCCAAGCTCGGGCATGACCTCGGGGGCGGCGTCCTTTGGCATGGTGGGGAGGGTGTTCTGGTTGGAAGACGAGGGAGAGAGCTCGGCGTCAGCTTCGACCCAGGCGGCACGGCCATGCGGTGGAGGGCGTATGTATGCTACTTACTGTGAAGAGATGAGCTTTGAAGCGAGTTGGGAAAGTGAACGACAAGAGATGTAGATGGTGGTATACGAGGCTGAAGTATGAGAGTTGGAGAGGTGCCCACCTGTGCGCCCCGGTTATGTTCCCCGGCCAGCCGGCCGGTTGGAGCGGGCTTAGCCGAACCGGACGTCTCTAATCTCCGTTCATAGTTTTCGGAGCTAATGCATTCGCCACCCTCTTGAGCTGAGTATTCAATGCAGCTCGAGTAGCGCTCAGAGCCGAGAGGATGAGCTTGGATAGATGCGGACCTTCCCATCGATGAGCTCGTATCTTCTGATGCTGCGGATCGAAGTGAACTCACGCACCGAGGCGATGGCCGTCTGGATCTGATCTCGACTGGAAGGCCGAGACGGCCGTTCCTCGGCGTCTCAAGTGTTGAAGGCCCTATCTGAATAAGCACCCCAACTGTGAACTTCAGAATAACGCAATCGATCTCCTCTCACGCGCCTCTTTGCCAGATCAAGAAGACCGTATGCATACCTCCTGCCCAAACATCCCAACAACTGCTCCACCTGCTCACAACTATACTCTGCTACTGATCCATACCACTGCACGAAGAACCTCTCTCGGCCATCCCAACCAGATTAAACCGAACCCGAGTTGTCGGCGCATGTCCACGCGGCAGTGCCGCCGTACTGAGCGTACGAGTTCTTGATGTCGACGATCGAGCCGTAGGTGCCCGAAATCATGAGGAACATACCGGCAACGATGACGAAGACGCTCCAGGTGACACCGGCGTACCACTTGGTGGAGCGCTCGTCGTTCCGGTGGAGGTAGAGCCACATGAAGCCCATAGGCTGGAAGCACATGAGTGTGCCGAGGAGGGCGCCGACAAGAGAGACGAGACCACCGAAGACAGGGACGGCGGACGCGATAATGTACGCAATGATTGTGCAGGCAGCAACGCATCCGAGCCAGTAGGCCCAGTGGGTGATGCTGTTGCTGGTAAGGTGAGGCGAGCCGCGAAGCAGACGGACGAAGATCTGCTTGGCGGGCAGGTGGGTGACAAGGCAGACCGTTGACACGAGACCCGGGATGGCGAGGCCGTAGCACACCTTCTTCATAAGCGCGCCGGCCGAGCCAAGGGCAGGGGAAGCAACGTAAGCGCCGCAGAAGTAGTACACGACGATGCCGATGGCAAGGTAGACGCAGGTGATGAGCGCCTGGCAGGTGATGAGGGCGCGGGTGTAGAGGCGGGGCTCGCGCATCTCGGAGACGATGGAGAAGAACGCGGGGGTGCCGGCATACGAGAAGACGAGGGTACCGATGGCCGAGATGGCCGAGGTGAAGCTAGGGCTACCGAAGAGCTTGATCTCTGGCTCCCAGTCGCCCGTCTGGGGCGCGGCCGACGGCCGGTCCTGGACGCCGACGGAGATGGTGAGGACCAGGATGGAGACGACAATCGAGGTGACACCAACCCAAGCGAGCCACGAGATCTTGCCGAGGGTGCGGATCGACGCAAGGCCCATGGCGATGATGGCGGCAACGGCGACGAAGACGGCGGTGCACGCGCCGTGGGTGCTGACGGCGTTGAGCGCGGTCGAGAGACCAAGCATGGCCGAGCCCGAGACGGCGATCCAGAAGAGCGTGTAGGCAAAGTTCATAATCTCGTAACCGAAGCGACCAAAGATGCGCATCATGACGTCGGCAATGTCGTAAGTCTCCGGGTGAGCGAGCTTCCACATGCCGACAATGTAGTCGGACCAGGTGGTGATGGCGGCGATGGCGATGAGGCAGATGACACCGGGAATCATACCAAGGGTGTCAAAGACGGCGGGCATGGACAGCACACCGAGACCCATCTGCGTCTTCATCATGAGCACCGAAGTGCCGAGCCACCCGACCTGGTGTCAGCGGGCCCGTTGCCTTAGCTTACCGAGCGGTAGTTGGGGCCCTTGTCGGTGATGGCGCCGAACACCTCGTCCGTGACGATGGCGCCCTTGGAGCCGAGCACCTCGACATCGTAATCCGGGTTCTCGCTCACGTCGACCTCCTGCACATTCTTCTCAGTCTTGATGTAGCCCATGGTGAGTTGCGATGCGAGTTCCGCGGGGCACGTCACTGCCTTCGAACCGGCCTTTTAAAAGTCTACGGACTCCAGCTCGCCCATGGGGCCAAGAGCCGCGCCACTCTGGCCAGCATCCTGCGCGATTGGTCCCTGTGACTTGTGGAGATGGAGCGAGGACGGCGGACGCGGGTGAGATGGTTTGTTGGTGCCACTGTCGACTCAGCGTCGCCCGTGTCGGGTTTCCCGTGGGCTCAGGGGAAGATTATGATAATCCTGAGGTTATCTCAGGAATCGTCGCTTCTACATGCCTCATTTTTCCGGTCTGTTGACGTGAGAAATCCTTCTGCGCGTATTGCATGCGCGCGAGCTATCGCGCAAAAATTCTGGAGCGCGGAGGAAAGAAAAGGCAGAGTGTGATGGGGGTGTAGACGGCAGAGAACACCTCCCAAGATTGTCCGGGGTTGCAGGCAAGGGAGGGGAGGGTGCAACCACAGAAGTCCGGAAGTTGGACGGCCTAGCAAAATCTCTCGGCCGCCCTGTCATCACCTACCACCTTCGGATTCCATGACAGCTGTGCTCCTGGCCACCCGATACCTGGGTCAGCGACAACCCTGGCGACTTGAGGCCGGCCACGACACCGCACGCAGTCTCTCATTCGCCCGCTGTGCGCCACCCAGCCGACACGCCGCCAAGCACACCCATCGCAGCCGGACGCCAAGCCGGCCGGGAAAACGTTGCGAGACATCTCCGCGGCCATGGTATGTGTGTGGCATCTACAAACTTCGAGAGGTTCCCCGGATTCTTGGACGGGCATACGGGATATGGTGATTGCGCTGCCAATCTCGATGGAGCAGTGGGCATGCTGGTCTGGGCCCTCTGGGGCCGCCCAATGCTTATGCAACACCAACGTTGTCTATGGGGCCCATGATGGTGCCACGGCGGGGGTTCCCGCAGCAATCAGGAGTAGAGGTGGAAACAAGATTCGGACGGCCCCGGACCCGCGGCGGACAGCCATTAGTGAACCGCCGCTCCGCCGCCATCCGATGCCCGACGAGCGACCAGTTCTAGAGCGCGAACGCCTCCGGGTGATCTGCACGCTGCCACCCATTCAACTGGCCATCAGCTGAGCTCAGGAGAGGAAACCTTGTCAGACGAAGGGCTGTGCGCCGACGGGGGCTCTGCCTCACCAGTAAGGTTGCATGGCAGTCATGGTTTGTCGATGCCGACGGCAAGACGTGCACGGGATCGTCTGCACACTTCTGAAATCTCCACGGCATCCTCAAGCTTCCACCGAGAGTCGCGGCTCTTTACGATAAGGATACATGTAGGGTCCTATTTTATTGGATGAAGCCAAGGTAGACAGAGTCGACGTTCTAGGTCTGCGATGATGTTGATATGTGTGATAATGGTACGAGAAGATTCACCGGCGCTAGTTGGGGAAGAAGATGCCCACAAGGCCGCCACACATAATTGTCACGCCTGTGTAAACGAGGACGGCACCGAAGTTGGTACTCCCGTACGCTCCTGCCGCTCCACGGAACACTCCAGTGCGAAGAAGCTTGGTGGAGATTGGGCCGGAGGTGAGGTTACCCACGCCGCGCAAAACAGCGTACAGCGAAAAGATGTACGTGTTCATGTGCGGGTCACGATCCTCTGTTGCGTCAGCCGGCCAAGTGTATCAGTCATTTTGGAACATACTGCACGTCCGCGTGATCAGTTTGGACCACAAAGAGACGAAACTCAGCGCGCTGAAACCCCACAGCATGCTGAAGGCCACAAGCATTCCCGAGCTTGTGCCAAGGCCCCAGAGGATGACGACGGAGATGGCAGCGAGCGCGCAATTGCCGAACACCGTCACGCGGGCCGGCAGGCGGTCCGAGATCCAGCCCATGAGAATGTTAGAGGGGACGGAGACAGCATTCATGATGGCCACAAGGGAGGTGCCATCCGGCTTGGTCGCGCCGACGGTGGCGGCAAAGGCTTTCGTCAGCATCGCCTGCTAGACCCGCAGGTGCTCGGGTGACCTACTAGGAATCCACAGGGTTGGGTTAAAGTTTCCGAGACTGGTTAGCAGAAGCGCCGACATACCGAGCCAGAACGCGCTTGTCCTGAGCACGCTCCAGTCGAAGTTGGCGCGCGGGAGGGCGTGCGTCGCGCCTTTAGCCGGGAGCGGCACGCGGCGTTTAATGAACATGAGCGCGAGGGCGTTCATGACGAAGAATGCGAGGCCGAGCGACACCATCGCGGCACGGTAGCCGAAGCGGCTAAGGAGTCCGCCAACGACAAGCGGGAAGATTGTCCCGCCGATGCCAGTGCCCGCGAACAGGATCCCCGAGGCGAGCCCGCGGCGCTCAATGAACCACTCGTACATGAGCGTCGCGCATGGCAGGTAGAGCGCTGCTGTCAGCGGGAACGGCGTTTGACGCACCTCCCGCGAACGGGTACAGGCACCCGATGGTGGCCACGAGGTGGGATGCCTTCGTCACAAAGCCCGCCGCGATGATGGACGCGGATGCGACGACCAGCCCAACGGCCTGAATGAACTGTCGCTTTCGCGGGAAAGTCGTGAACAGCCTGCCGTCAGCGCTGAGTAGGTTTACGACGTACGGGCCAAGGAGTGCCGTGCTCATGAACATGAGACCAGTCTGCAGCGTGGCCGCGAGGGTGAGCGTACTCTCGTCCTCTGGGAACATGTTGGTGTGCCAGTATGCGTGCAGGACACCGACAGTGTACGGCAGACCCCAAACCCATGTCTCTACGAGAGTCGCGGCGGCAAGAAACTGCCAGGCGTGCCGTCCCTTGTCAGGAGGATGGAGGACAGGCGTGACGCGCTCGCCTCCTTCGCCGTCACCCAACACTGCATCGAGATTGTGCAGCGAGAGCACGTCCGGGGTCTGGGGAAGGCTGGGGCCTGCGATGGCATCGCCCCGCGAAAGCAGATCCGGGTCACTATTACGCAGTTTGTCGCGCCCACCTGTGTAGACTGGCTGGACGGGCTCGAGTTCGATGCTTTGTGGGTAGGTGTACGTCTCTGTCGCTGACATGGTGATGGCAATTCAGACACAAGGCGAGCGGAATATGTAGTTGCATCAACGCTGACAGATACTGTCGCGCGGGGAGCGCTGACCAGCTTTTTGACTCGAATCCGCATCTCCGGTACAATTGCCCGCACTCTCCGCATCCTCGGTCGGCGGGCAAGAGACTTGGCCAGCCAAACGGCCCGACCCGGCCTTTGCTGACAGAACTCTCCGAGATCCCGGGGTGAGTCACAGGCACTTCAACCGAACTGCCACGGACCTTGGTCTCAAGAATACATCGACTCGCATTTCCTACTACAGCGTGAACCGATACCTCGCCTCAACCTGCACACGCGACGGCCCGTTGGGGCCAAGGTCCTCGCCGCGGTCAAGCCGCGCATTCTGGCGGCGGAGGTACCACCTCGTGAGCAAAGTTAGGAGGATGACTAGCACGCTGGCGGCGAGGTTGACGCTGAAAGCGAGAATGTAGCGAGGCGCCTTGTAGAGGTAACCTTGGCGTCAGAATTGCCTGGCAGCAACTCACTAGTCCAGATGTTGGCGCTGTTGGCGAACGAGTTAATCATAGCGATCGCGATTGCGCGCTTGATGTCGGGTCCTACGACGGATGTGCTGATCCACGAGAGTAGGACGATAGTCGCACTATAAAATGAGCCAGGCATGAGCATCATTGCCAGGTAGCGTGCGGCTACATTGGTCGTTGCCAGCGCGATCACGTTGGCGAGAATCGTTACGCCCATCGCGCAGACTGTGTGCCAGGTGCGATCGTGCTGTTTGTCCGAGGACCAGCCAACGATGACCAAACACAGAATGCACAGAAGATAGGGCGGCGCCGTGATGCAGAGTGTAACGGTGCGGCTGAATCCGAGTGAGTTGACGACGCTGGCGTCAGCTCCACTTGCAGACATTAGCCTACATGGGAAAGAAGTTGGTGACGGCCGCAGCGACCCAGCAACACCAAAGCGTGAGGCCGAGGAGGTAGACGGCCGGCTGACGTTAGATACAATCCGCTCGAGGATAGCAACGTACGTCCTTGAGAGACAGTTTGAATGCGCGTCCCGTGGTCATTTCCTTAGTTCCGTCTTGAGTGCCCTTGTCCATTTCAAGGCGGTATAGCACCCGGTCGCGCTCCTGCCTATCGAGCCACCTCATGGTTGCCGGCTTGTTAGGCATGTACAAGGCAAAGATGATGGCGAACCCAACGGTCATGGCGCCCTCCACGATAAAAAGCCAGCGCCAACCTTCGAGGCCGTGCGTCCCATCGAGCTGGAGGCATGCGAGCGCGAACAACCCGCCAAAGGCGTTCCCGATTTGAGACCCCGAGTATAAGATGGCGGTACGCAGCGCGAGCTGCTTGCGCGTGTAGAATAGAGACAGGAGATAGATTGCTCCGGGGAAGAAGGCCGCCTCTGTAAAGCCCAACATGAGACGACAAACGACCAGCCCCACAAAGCTTTGTACGGCGCCCGTACACGCGGACACAGTGCCCCACATTGCGCACCACGCGCAGATGTACAAGCTGGGCTTAGGAATGCGCCCGGCGATCATGTTCGAGGGGATCTGCAGCGAAACTGGATGAGCACAGCCCACTACATCGCTCACTGTAACCGGCAAAGAGAACGGCAACACAGGTCGCGAACTGGCTCTCAGTCATGTTGAGGTCGACGGTGAGACCGCCGATCTTGGCGGTCGAGACATTCTGCCGATCCTGCTGTCAGCACCCTCCGCTAGTTCGGACGCACAAGGTAGTTAAGTACATAGAGCGCCATGAGTGTCGGCATGAGCAGGATGTCAATCTTGCGAGTCGCTCGGCGGTCGACGGCGGCCAGCTCAGCATCGCTTAGGCCTACCAGCGACTCGGGGTACTTGACAGCGAGATGACGATCGATGCCGTCCACGTCGAGCGGCCCCGTCTCGTCCAGCCCCTCAATGTGCTTGATAGACGCCTTGTCCGAGTCAGATGTCATGACGTTGAGATTGGCGGGGGGATTGAGCAGGCAGCGCCAACAGACATGGGTCTTATTGGGGGCTCCCCACTTCCCCGCGCGTCGGCTACGCCCGGATCAAAGACGTACCACGCAAGAGTCTACTGCACCGTAACGGGATGGCCCCACGTCGGGGTGTAGTCTCTGGGACTCGTGCCTGCCGGTGGGCAGGCATGCGCGCGTCATGTCGACTTGAGCAGCCTCGAGCGCTATCCTTCCATCAGTCCTTCCCCAAGAGGAAGAGTGTAGCGGGTGAGCTTGATGTGGATGATGCGTCAGACAGTGGTAGAACGGGAGCACTCGATTTGCCAAGCATCTATTGTGAGGCCGACTCCTCGACACAAGACCGGCACGAACATCAGCTGATTGCTTGAACCCTGCAGATACCCGCAATCTCCACAGTGACTCAACGGGATCGCACGGCTTCGCACGGATCAGCGCGGCAAACCCTGTCGGGATCCTCACGCGATACGATGCGATCCGGCGATGCGGCGGAACCGCTGGCACCATGTGATAGCTGAAGCATGAGGCCAAGTCTTAACACCGGCAGGCGTCTTGGCAGTACATGAACAGAAGCCGAAAGCCTCGGATCCATGGACACCGACGCGGCTACATCTTACATGTTCATCACATATTTCACGGCATGAACACATCCACTACTTGTCCTTGGGCGTGAGCGCGAATGCAAACTTGGTCTTGTGGGCGTTGAGCAGGAATTGCTTCTGAGGAGGCGGCCCGCACGCCGCCGTGCCGAGACCGTTAAGTGCATGGTCAATATTGACCCAAACGTTGTGGCCAGGGACAAGGTCAATGGTATGCTTGGCAGCAGCAAGCTCGACGCTTGTCCAACGCTTGACACCAAGATTGAATGGCTCGCCGGCGATAGTAAGCCCACCCTCTGGGCCTGAAAGCGTGGCCCGACGTACGCCGGCGCGGTTTCCATTCTCCTGCGGATAGACGTAAGGCGTCTGCCAGTCGTCGATGCTGCTCTCGAACGCGCCTAGGCGCTGCGCCTTGTGCGAGTCCGGGTACGCCTCGCCGGGCCCCATGCCGAACCACCCCACATGCTCCAGCGTCTTCGGCAGGCCGAGGAGGAAGCCAAGGCGCGGAAGCGGCGCAGGGAATTCGCCCTCGGGCGTCACATTCACGATCACGTGCAGTGACTTGCCATCCGATGTGTACGTGTAATCAGTGCGGAGAGCGCGGCCCGTGTCCCATGCTGCGACGCGTGTGCTCACTACCACCGACGTCTCGGTAACCTCAATGCTATCGGTGCGGTGCTTCATGCGGTCGAACCCAGCCGCGCGCCACTGCTTCTCGAAGCACACATCATTGTCCGTCGGGGCACGCCACACATCAAGCTTGGCCCATGTCACCCGCTGTGACCCAAGCTGAGTGAGCTGTCCATCCTGCAGACGGATGTGCGCAGGACCAAGCACGATCGTCCCGTCATGCACCTCGGGCGCCACAGTTTCCTCTACCGGTGCGGCCGGCGGCACAGTGTCAACTGAAATCTGGCCCCAGGCGATCTCGTGACCGGCTTCGGCCCAAGAGGTCTCCTCCTTGAGCCTCGCCGAAATCGTGAACACCGTCTCGCCGTCCGCCTGTTTGTTTGGCAGCGACACAGTGCCCGTTTCGCCAGCCTTAATGGGCGGAACGTCAAGAGTCCCCTCCTCCACGAGATTGCCATCGTTCTCGAGGCGCCAAGCAAACTCAAGCGCCGATGTGTCGGCAAAGTCGTGGCGGTTCAAGATTGACAGCTCACCGTCTTTGCCGGTAATAGCAACTGGGGCGATGACCTTTTTGTACTCGATCAAGCTCGGCGATGGCTTGCGGTTCGGGAACAGCAGGCCGTCGCACACAAAGTTGCCGTCGTGGATCTCCTCGCCAAAGTCGCCACCGTACGCATAGTACTCCCTCCCATCTTCCGTGCGCTGCAGGATGCCATGGTCGATCCACTCCCAAATGAACCCGCCCTGCGTACGCGGGTACTTGTGGAACACATCCTGGTACTCGCTGAGACCGCCGCCGTTGCCCATTGCGTGTCCGTACTCGCACTGGATGAAGGGCATAGCGCGACGCTTGGCGTCAAGCTCCTTATCGTTCAGCTGCTCCTTGGAGAACAACATGTGGCCCATCCACTCGATCTCGTCCTCAGCCGTTTCTTCCACCTTGCCGATCTTCTCGCACAGTTCCTGGGTAGCGTACATTCGCGAGTAGATGTCGACATACTGCCCGATCAGGTCGCGCTCGTAGTGGATCGGTCGGGAGTCGCGTTTGCGAATAGCCTCGGCCATGCGGCCGATGTTTGGGCCAAAGCCCGCCTCGTTCCCAAGCGACCAAATGATGACCGAAGGGTGGTTCTTGTCACGCTCAAACATGCGCTCGGTGCGATTCACCAATGTTTCGGTCCACATGTCCTCGACTGCCGGGCTGCCCTTCCACTTGACGTTCTCGAAGCCATGCGTCTCATAGTCGCCCTCGTCAATCACCCACAAGCCGTACTCATCACACAAGCTCAAAAACGCTGGATGAGGAGGATAGTGCGAGCAGCGCACGGCGTTGAGGTTGTGTTTCTTCATCAGAACAATGTCCTGCCGCATCGTCTCGAGGTCAAGCGTGCGCCCCTTCTCGGGGTGGAACTCGTGGCGATTGGCACCGCGGAACAGGATGCGGCGGCCATTGACCTTGAGCTGCGCGTCCTCGATCTTGACGCTCCGGAACCCAATCTTGAAGGGAATGATCTCGCCGTCGGCCCCAGTGTCCAGCTCAGCCTCATACAGGCGCGGAATCTCGGCCGACCACGGCTCGACCTCGGGGATGTGCAACGGCTCACCGGTGGGTATCTGGATTTGGAGCTCGGGCACGCGCACCGTTCCGCTGGGTGTACACTCGACCATAAGCTTGCCTGAGCCGTTTGAGTGGTCATAGTCAGCGTGCACGAAATAGTCCTGCACGGCCTTGGACGGACGGTGGATGAGGGTGACGTCGCGGAAGATGCCGGGCAGCCACCACTGATCCTGGTCCTCGACGTACGTCGCCGCACTCCACTGGTGCACTTGGACCGCGAGTGTGTTATGCGCTTGCACTGGGGCGTCGAACTCGGTAGGGAGGCGCGAGCCGGAGGTCGTGCCCAGCTCGATGTCGTTCAGCCAGACCTTGGCCCAGGATTCTATGCCGTCGAAGCGGAGGATGGTCTATTGTCAGCTCAGGTGAGACATCCTTCTGCTCACCTTTCCGGCGCTTGGCCAGTCTGAGGGGAGGTCGAACTGTAAACGGTACAGCCCCGTGGGATTCTCAGTGGGCACGAAGGGTGGGTCGATAGGGAATGGATACCGGATGTTCTGGTACGCCGGCCAACCATACTTGCCATCCTGGAGCACCCATGTACTCGGGACGGAGATAGTATCCCAATCACCATCTGCGAACTCCGACTTCTCGAACTCAAATGTCGCGGCACTCCGCGCGGCAGTATGCTCGAAAGCAAACTTCCATTCGCCATTTAAGCTCTTGTGTGCCGCATTGGATGGCGCATACGCACGGGGGGCAAGCGCGCCGCGCCACGGCTTCGGGTCCTCGTGCTCGCCTGGGTGGATTGTGATCTTGGTCATCTCGGTGGGGGGTGCCGTGGGGCTGTGCGGGGCTGGCTCTTATCAAGCTTGAAATCGAGGGACAGCGTTGATGGTAGTCGTGATCCGTGTAACGATGTACAATGCCGGGTAGCGCGTTGCAGCGCATGTTGGCGCTCAGGTGGTGCTGAATGCAAATGATGATGACGTTGAACGGGAATTTAGTGGGCCGAACGGGAATGACTTGAACTACTTCAGGACAGCTTCAGTGGCCACATTTGCTCCGACTTATTAGCATGCGACAATCTCGGCGACATCGCCGTCGTGTGTAGGCGACCATTGGCATTGCAGATCTCATTGCGGGGTGCGGAACGACAAAGGGTGTGAGTGGACGAAGCGGCAAACACGCCGAATGCTCGGAGTTCGCCGATATCTGAGCACATCATATCGCAGGGAGTCTCTGAAACCACGTGCCACTCACTTCATTCGCATCTCGAGTGACGCCCGAGCTCCAGAGACGAGATGCACCATATCTGTCACTAACAACAACCGGTGTTAGCTTGAAAAACAATCTCACGCACATTTCCAGAACGAATGCCATGAGCAGCTTCACCTTCTACTCCTCGTCGCGAGGCATCCCAAGGTGAACATCCCAGTTTTGGTTCCGCTATTCCTAGGGACGACCATGATTTATTTGGCCCACGTGCCCTAGCTCAAGTACATAGAACTGCTATTAGGCCTATTAGGGCTATGGATCCTAATATTGTACCTTTTAGTGATACGGTTTAAACCGTTCAACTTCAGCCATCACAGTTGCCCAGACCGTGTGTTCGGGCAACCCTTAAGAAACAGTGGGATAACAAGGATAACAGAATCGACATGGGTACTACAAGTCCTATAATGGTCGACAGTAGGCGCATTGCAGGTGGCCTACATGGGCCTGGCTCGGTCGGTGACTTCATTCAGACGACAACGCTATCTCCAGAGTGAGGTGGCAGCCACTCACCCTTCGTCTATGTCTCTCTCTCGGCGTAGCCGCTGCAGCAGTGGTGCAGTCAATCACGGCATTAACTGCACTAGCCATCAATGTCCAACAAAACATACCCCCATCGAGCACTCCTGTGTTGTCACACTTGTCGTTCTCTCACCTGGAAAAGTAGACATAGTTATTTGCACACATATCACAGCGGGCCAACTTCAGGTCACCACAGTGGTTGACCCAGGTTGTGTGCCTCACCGATTGGAGTTGCGGGGGAGGCGGAGGGCACCCGCGAGAGCCCCTCAGATAATAACGTAAAGGAACTGATCGCCCACTTGCGAGCCTCGGCTCTCCCATCGATCACAAGTGGGCAGCAGGGCGTTCCTCTAAGCGCCACAGTATGCAAGCTGCAGATCGTGCTCTGACGATTCCCGCCGCATACCCTTTTGCTGCAACTCACGTTGCACATCAGCGGCGCTCTCGATCCCGGTAGGTGGCTGAGTGGAGCAACCTGCTTTACGTGATATCATCCGGATGAGGTGATCTCGTGACATGCTCTGGGAGCGGACAACGCGCGAGACCTCTCTTGACTCGGGTCGGTCTGGCCCTTGTTTGGTTCCGCGAGAAGGATCGTGAACCGTCAGGCACAAACCCCTTCTGCAAGGAGAGTGCAACTCGATCACACGCCAGCCCCCACTTTCAGTTGACGTGCGTGGACTGGCTTCAAAAGCAGTGCACAACCACAATGCATTATGTACAACGCCACTCGCATGGAGTGGAGTGACCTATTGACGGACCATAGGGTATTTTACCGTCTGCTGGGACGGAGGTGGACTCTACTAATGCTATCCAACGCTCTACTCGGGTACCTCGACCGTGTTCGAGTTGTCGGCGCAGCCCCAAGGCTTCGAGCGGTTGGGGTCGTTGATGATGGCAACGATGGCGCCGTAGGTACCGGCAACGGTGAGGAAGATAGCAAGGACAAAGAGGAAGCCGTTCCACGCGAGCATGATGGTGCTGCGGCGGCCGTTAATGTTGAGCTTCCAGTTGTCGTGGTACCACATCCACGCGTAGGGGGCCACACACACCGAGGGGCCGATCATAGCGCCGACGAGCGAGATGAGGTTGCCGAAAATAGGAATGGCCGAGCCAATCACGTAGGCGACGATGGTGGAGCCAACGACGCACGAGTACCAGGTGATCCAGTGGACCTTGGTGCTCGAGGAAAGGTGCGGGGTGCCGGCGAGGATGCGGACGAAGAAGTACTTCGCAGCAAGGTGGAGGTAGATGCAGACGGTGGCGAGCAGCGCGGGGATAGCGATGCCGTAGGCAACCTTCTTCATGGTGGGACCAGCGGAGCCGAGGGCGGGGTTGGCGACGTACTTGCCACAGAAGTAGTAAACAACCTGAGGTCAGCGCGGAAGATGGAGATTTCACTCACAATGCCGATGACAGCGTAGACGATGTAGAGGAGGCCCATCGAGATGCACATGGTGCGCTTGTACGAGCGGGGGTCACGCATCTCCGAGATGATGCCGAAGTAGGTAGGAGTGGCAGCGAAGGCAAAGACAATCGAGTTGATGGAGCTCATCGCGACCGAGAATGTTGGGCTGTTGGTGATCTTGAGGTCCTTGGGCCAGGGGCCGGTGGGGAACTCCTTGGCGGCGAGGTAAGGGCGCTCCTGGACACCGACAGCGATAGTGAGAGTGAGAATGGCGGCCATGATGGAAACGAGGCCAATCCAACCGAGCCACGAGATCTTGCCAAGAGTGCGGATCTGGGCCAGAAGGAAGCCACAGAAAGCGGCGACAGCGATGAAGATGGCCGTGCACGCGCTGTGCTTGGTAGCAGTGGAAGAAACGGCGTTGAGGGCAGTGCCGATGGCAAGAATACCCGAGGCCGAGACGAAAATCATGAACAGAACGAAGGCGAGACCGAAGTACTCGCGGCCAAAGCGGCCGCCGACAACGTAGCCGGCGTCGGCGATGGCGTACACCTCAGGGTGGTTCATCTTGAAGTCACCGATGATGCACGCGCAGTCTGGGCGTCAGCAATTGCTCAGCATGGACGATCTGGTCAGGGGCACATGACGACGGTGGTAGCAGGTGATCACGGATTTCTTTCTCAGCCACTGACCAGTGCCTCGCCACATAGCCCGCCTCCGTCAAGGAGACGGTATGTCACAAGACCTGCCTTGGCAAGAAGTTCACTCCGGCAGACCGGCGGCTGGTACTCACACATGATGATGAGGTTGATGACGAGGAGCAAGATGACACCGGGCACCATGCCGACCTCCATGAAGACGAAAGGGATGGAAAGAACACCAAGACCAATGTTGGCCTTGGTCATGAGAGCGAAAGCACCGAGCGGACCAACCTGAGGGTCAGCGGTGGTCCCGAAAGACAGCTGTGGGGGCCAGCCAGCTAATAACTTACAGCACGGTAGTTGGGGCCTCCCTCGCCCATGTCACCGAAAACGGCGTCCTGGACGTGTTGGGACTGGCCGGCAGGAGCGATCTCGACGGCATAGTTGTTGTCCTTGCCGGCACGGGGACCACCGTTGAGCGAGTCGCGCTTCTCGCCCTGCTCGATTGCGAACTTCTCGCTGTCGTAGTGGGACATGTTGAGTGAGTGTGTTGCGTGGGGAAAAAGATGGGGCCAACACAGCGCTGATCAGGCCTTTTTCAATCAGTGTGGACGGGAGGCGGGGTCGGGCGTCAGCTTGAAGGCGCTCCAGGGGGCCGACGGTTCCCCCTCACCCGGCAGGCGACGTCCAGTCACAAGCCGCGACCTGTCCATACCAGAGAAGGCGGCACCGGAGGCATCCAAGCATGCTGCAGGCAGTATTCCAGAGAGGACGCCGGCACGGTGGTGAAGATCCGGGCAGGAGAGCAGGAGTGGACGGTAGCCGCCGGCGGAGGCTCAGATTGTGCGGGCGCCCTGGCCCCCATACAGGCATTCGAGGGCGCTAAGCGAGCGAGTGCGGGGTAGCGGACAAACGGCATTTGATCCGGAGATGACGGGTAGAAGATGGCAGGCTCCAATACGTTCGTCCTCAACACCCCCACTTCCACTGGCGTCAGGGCGACTTGCGGGGCAAAGGCACGTGAGGTGAGAGGCGGACGTTTGTCAGGTATCTAGGGTCGCGTCCCTAAGCTGTTGCCGCAGCTGAATGCTCTGCGTGCGTCCTCTGAGTGGTGCTAAGCAAGCGATGCTCGCCTCGCCCATTTTGTGATCTCGGTGTGTTGCAGAAGCCAGCGCTCGATGCGGTTTAGCCACACTCCGGAGTCGGCTGCGGATCCAATCCATCACAGAAACACTGATCCTCACTGCCCGTGCACTCAGGCACCATTTCTCTTCGGATCGTCGGGTGTAGTTCTCTCATCCCAGGTGTCTCAGCTGTCGACTTTTGGAACCGACTTGCAAGAGGGGCATTCTCCTATCCCGTGTGAGCTTTGTAACTCGAAGCGCCCAGTGCAACCCCATTGTCTTGCTGGTGCATTCAGCAGATGATGGCCCGATTGGCTGCGGGTGGATTACCCCTCATAGTTGACACGGTGCGAAGGGCGACTACAAATTGCCCAGCCTGGATCCGAAAAAACGTGAGGAGGTAAAACGTCACCCCGCTACACCGTTGAATGGCCGGATCATGCTCTTCTCAGGGCTGAGGGCATGGCGGCCGCTCACGCATACCAAGGAGACCCAGGGCCTCTTTGATCGCGCGCCCACTTTGCGCATGCTCAAACAAGGAACTACGTCGTCCCGCTGACCGTGCACCGGCTGGTGGCTGACGTCCACTGCATCCAGTGCTGCTGTATATCCCCTGGCCGAGGCTTTGCAGCTTAAGCGAGCTCGGAACCTGCCATTTGCGCACTCGCGTCGTCTGATCGTGTCGCGGACGCGCGCGTCGCTAGGTTGCGCGGATGAGGCGGTTTTTGGAAGCGGATCTCTCCACCTTGCCTTACGACAAATCGGCACCCACCATGTGGGCGGGGGCGGAGGGCGTTTGCGTGTTTTCGCACTGATGAATGGTCGGATAACGGAACACGGTGTTTCGGCCGGAGAACATGCGACCGCTTGCCGATCAACCTGAGATCTTTGCTGCACAGTAGCCGCCCACACGCGCACAGATAGTTGTTCAGAACGCAACCGACAGGAACACGATACCCTCACTGAGGAATTTCGAATAGCTACGCGCTATCAGCGGCCTCAGGTCAGAGCTGCGTCGCCAACCTAGGCGTGCCAAGTAAGCGCGAAGGCCCCGTTTCGACTAGCGAATACTGGATATGCCCCACTCGCTGCCATTTTGCACCTGGGGATGCCAACCCGGCCCCCGTGGAGGCCTATGGAGAAGTGTTGGCCCCAAGGCTCGCCGCAAGCCCACTTCATGCTGTGCTTGACGCCCATGGCACTACGAGCAGTTATTGTCATTGCGGGGCGCGGCTTGTCCATCTCATTCCACGGCATCATTGGATCAGCTCGGCTGGGCGCCCCCGAGGCGGGGAGTCGCAGCTGTCCACCCCGCATGTGGCACCCACACACGGCGAATCATATGCAGATCAGTTACACGCCCTCGCATACCGCTGCAAAGATGCACATGCTCCGGGCGGAGCCCATAGCGCAGTTGTCTGGTGAGTTTTCGTGTCGTATTAAAACCCGTCCTTTGCGCTCGCCTGGCCCTCGGCGAGTCGGAGATTCTAGGGGCGGAGTAGGCTATGCCGCCGGTAGGGCGCCGCGCAACAACGGGCGAAAGTACTTCGGGCCGCCCGTTTCGCCGCAGGTCGTCGGAGCTGGCCATTTGAGCCATGAGAGTTTAAATCAGAATATCAAGTGAGATGTTTAGCGCGAGTGCGAACTCCGGCGCGGAGCGTCCGGGTCGTCGTGCAGGCGAGTTCTGGTCGTGCCACTTAAGGCCCTAGTTATGTGCACTCGATTGATCCAGGGCCATGTCGACATGAGGGGAAGTCAACAGCAGGCATGGGTCAACTTCCGCCGACGGTGCTTCTCGACCCGCCAACCTGCGGGCTCTTCTTGTTGCGTGCCCGCTTCGAGGAGACGCACATTGTCGCTCCTCGCCGAATTCAGCGTTGCGAGGGTTGAGGTTGACCAGACGCACCAGAGCGGAGGGCCCGTGGCACTGAGAGCCGCGAGATTGGCCAACACTTTGGGTAGCTGTGAGCCTCCTTCTCGTCCCCATAGGGCGCTGAAGCTCCTAACCCGACTGCTGTTGCACAGTCAGCTCACTGGCAGTGATAGGGGCCGCAGGCAAGCCTCTGCAGTCCACAAAGGCGTCTACGTTCCCTGCCGTTCTATCGCGTCGAGGATCTGGGAGTAGGGCACCGTCCGCGGAATGACGAGTCAGATGTTGTGAGGATGTGTGTAACAGCGAGAACGGGAGAGGGTACCCCCATCACTTCTCACTCTGCGACTATTGGGAGCCGCATCATTGAGACCGGGGGAAGCGGAAGTGAGGCGGAAACAGTGCAGCCAGTCAAAAGATATTCTGAGCGCTTAACATCTTGCGGAAGATGATAGGCGCCACGCGAGTGCCGCGGGACTCAGGTTGTCCCACTGGGTTTTAAGCCTGCGGAAGCCAGGCAAGTTCTGTGTGCCTACCGACCGCGTCTCTGTTGTGAGCAGCATCACATGTCCATCGATCAGATACCCCGTGCCCCCACCCCATGCCTTCGCTGCCCTCCAATCCACTGATTGGTGCCCCGACCCCTCGACGCGTCCAGCGATATTTAATGTCGGCGCGTCTTCGGTGCACGCGTCCGTTCGTGCCGTGATATGACGGAGGGGCTTCGGCGGTCTCGGTGGACGTCCGGTGGTGCCAAGGCGGGTAAGCTCGGCCCGGCCACCGAAACGACCGACACCCCGTTCGTCCTTCTATGGTCAGTCTCACTCCGGGGGCAGACCGTGTCATCTTCGGCGCCGGGCCGACACTGACCGAAGTATCGACACATGCCACAAGCGAGCGCTTTGCACGATCGCGTGAGATCCCAAAACCAGCACGGTGGGGCGGCTGTGGCCGGCCTGAACAAATGACGTAGGGAGCGGGAGCACAAGTCACAGATGCGGACAGCTGCCCACTCTCTGTGTCATTGGCATGGTGCAGGCTGCGAGGTGCGGAGCTGCGGGGCGGGCACCCAGCTGTTGCCGTTGCTGCGCAGAACTACCGACACTCGGCTGCCCGTCTCCGCAATGATCGACAGGGCCATGGTACCACAAGCGGAGAGATTCCCAAAGTTTGCCTCGGTCAGTGACAGGGGTAGACGGCTGACAGCTCAACGTCATTACCAGAACGACCTGCACGACCGGAGGAAGCGTCTGACTCTCCTCGAAACGGGCCAGCAGGGATCTGCATTCCGTGCATTCTGGACCTCTCGCTTGGGGACGTCGCTTCTCGCCACGGGCCGGTGCAGGGTGTTGCTGGGCTCGGCACTGTGCCTGCCTTGGTATACCAACGCCGTCCATGCGTGGTGCGATGTGGTTTTTGCAGCATGATCGCAAGACCGGACTTGTCGGAACACATGACACTTGATGCTGGCCAATCAAAAGGCGCTGCCACAGATACAGTTAGAGCATGAGGTGAGCCCGCCCATCTTAGCGATCCTGGAAATGCCTAACGTGTCCTACTTCCTCTCCCGTACTTGCCAATGGGGCACCGTACCTGGAGTCACGTTGGGCACCTAGCCGCAACCCTAACGGCCATATGGTGCAGTGTGGGTGCTTCTCAGCTCATTTGCGGCAGCCAGTTTGTTCCTGACGGCTGAAGTCCACGGAGGACAGGCGAGGCTCTGTCTGTGCACGGTGACGCCCTGTTGCCGGCTTGTGGGGCCATGTATTCACGGTAGAGACAGGCGGGGTCGGGGAGGTCGGGGCCTCAACCTCGGCAAGGCGCCGAGATGGCTGCGGGACGATGGGCACGCAGGCGGCCCAGTGTGCGAGAAGGGCGAGTTTGGTTCGCAAGGCACACCCTTGCCCGCCGCTGGCCGCTGGCCGACACTAATGAATGGACGGCAGCAGGTGTTGGCCATCTATAAAGACTAAGAGTGGAGTGGTTGCCTCCCCATCACCCGGGTCTCGGCCGTTAGACAGCACTCAAGAACCTACTGCGAGCGCGAGCACCGACAAGGCAGTGAGCCGAAACGTAGCAACAATGTCCGCCGAGAAGTCGCACATGGACGGCGTCGAGCCCGTCCACACCTCCAACTTCGACCGTCGGCCGAGCAAGATGGACTTCAACCATCTCGAGAAGGTGCCCACCAATACCCCCGAGTGGAACGACCTCCGCGACGATGCCATGCGCGCCGAGGAGAACGAGAAGTCGATGGGCCTTGTCGAGGGTCTCCGCAACTACCCCAACGCTGTCTTCTGGTCGTTCGCCATTTCGCTCTGCATCAGTGAGTTGATCCTCCTGCCTTTTTTCGGGCACGGTTGATCGAGTGAGAGCCGTGTTCGCATACCGCGGGAGGCAGGCAGGTGTCAGGTTCGGCTTGTTCCACCACACATGCCCAAAACTGTCACGTCCCGACCCCTCCTCGCTTGTGTTCGCTTGCCTGCCATACCTGCCAAGCCAGCTGCAATGAACGACTGCTAACGGCCAGTCATGGAGGGCTACGATACCCAGGTTCTTGGCAATGTTATCGGTCTCTCGGAATTCCGCCAGAAGTTCGGCTTCGACACTGGCGTTGAGGGCGAGGGTCGTTATCAGCTCACGGCGGCATGGCAGACTGCTATCTCGCAGGCGCCAACCATCGGTTGCTTCATCGGTATTCTGATCTCGTCATGGGCCCAGGACAAGTGGGGCTACCGCCGCACTATTCAGATCGCCCTCGTCTTCCTCACTGGTACCATTTTCATCGTATTCTTCGCCGTCAATGTCGAGATGCTCTTCATCGGTGAGCTCCTCTGCGGTCTGCCGTGGGGTGCTTTCTCTTCTTCGGCTGTGTCGTACGCATCGGACGTTACCCCCATCCCCCTCCGTGGTTACCTCACCACCTACATCAACCTGTGTTGGGTCATAGGCCAAATGATCGGTGCCGGTATCCTCCGCAAAGTAACCACGCTCCCCGGCGCCAACGCCTACCGCATCCCCTTTGCCGTGCAGTGGGTGTGGCCCATTCCCCTGTTCATCCTCGTCACCCTTGCTCCCGAGTCCCCCTGGTTCCTTGTGCGTGCCGGTCGCCTCGCCGAGGCCAAGCGTGTTGTTGAGCGTCTCTCGCGCAAGGGCGAGAAGGTCGACTCCGACGCTACTGTCGCCATGATGGTCCGCACCAACCAGATGGAGATCGACAACGAGACCGGCTCCACCTACATTGACTGCTTCAAGGGTGTCGACCTCCGCCGTACCGAGATTGCCTGCGTTGTCTGGATCTGCCAGCAGCTTTGCGGCATGGTCTTCTGCGGCTCCCCCACCTACTTCTTCCTCCAGGCCGGTCTGGCCGAGGACAACGCCTTCAGCCTCAACCTCGGTATCACCGGCATTGCCTTCGTCGGCACAGTCGCTTCGTGGATTACTCTCACCATCATGGGCCGCCGTCCTCCCTTCCTCGCCGGCATGGCCTTCATGTGCATGCTCATGTGGATCATTGCTGGTCTGTCGTGGCCCGCCGACAAGGGCGGCGGTGGCGCTTGGGGCCAGGCTGCCCTCGTCATGATCTTCGTCTTCGTCTACGACTTCACCATCGGTCCCCTCACCTACTGCATTGTCGGTGAGGTCTCGTCCACCCGTCTCCGCTCCAAGACTGTCGGTCTTGCCCGTAACGCCTACAACGTTGTCGGTGTCTGCGCTGGTATCCTCAACACCTACATGGTCAACGCCACTGAGTGGAACCTCAAGGGCCGTGCGGCGTTTGTTTGGGGCGGCACCTCCCTCATCTGCACGATTTGGTGCTTCTTCCGCCTCCCCGAGATGAAGGGCCGCTCGTACCGCGAGCTCGACGTGAGTACAATGCATGCGGTTTCAAGGCACGCGCTGACGTACAGATTCTCTTCGAGCGTCGCATCCCTGCTCGCAAGTTCCGGAGCACAATCATCGACGAGCACGAGGAGTCGTAAATGGCTGTTCAGTTGGATGTCTTGGTGGGAGAGCTGGTGGAGGACGATGTTGAGTTGCCGAGTTGTTGGCAAGCTTAGTGTCAGTAGTATTAATCGCAACATGCACAGTAATCGCTCAACACTTTGTGATGGAGAAGCGAGGCATTCATGCACAGTAATCGCCAACACTTGGTGATGGAGAAGCGAGGCATTCATTGGGACCGAGGGACCGACCCATTGTTCAGTCGGTATCAAGTGCCAGCAATGTGGTCCACTGGCATGAGGACAGGCGAAAGTGGATGAGAAGGGCCTCCCGTCGATGGCTTGAGCGCTGAGAGCCTTTGAGAATTCAACTTGTCGGACTGCGGGTGGGGATGACAGTGAGAGACAACTGAGCTTTAAAGTAGGGTGTCAATGCGAGCTTGGTAGCAATGTATGTGAGGCAACCGAGGAGTCACCGAGCCCTCAGAAGGCGACCCATCGGTGTAAGAGGACATGACCGATCGGCCGCAGCCTGGGGAGCACTGTATTATCGGTGCAACGTCGGTCGGGATACGTCTGAATGACATCGCACTGACAACGGCAGGTGATCAGGTGAGACCAGGGCGTAATCATATGAAAGACCATGCGGGAGGACCCTTTGCCCAAGATTAGGTGAATATAGGAAGAGCTGTGTACGTCAAGCAATGCGCCCGTCCACAAACGGGGGACACCGATCAGCATTCATCAGTGCAGCCAGTCACCACAATTGCGAGCCGAGATGCGGGCGACGAGGAGAGCATGCGGCAACAGCACGTCCAACTTCACATCCCACCCGGAGTAAAACACTGCGCAGCGGGAGCTCAAAACAGCATGGCCTACGGCGGGGGGACAAAGGAGTAAGACGCAGCAGAGAGAGGCATAGACGAACAGTGAGTGCACGTGGGGGCTCTCCAACCGACCGTCGATCAAAACGTTGCTTCAGCGCTCCAGCTATCCGTGCGCCATCGGCCATCCCCGACACTTGCCGTCACGATCTTCAGGCGCCCTGTATGATGCATGAATAATCATCATCGTGTGCTCCCCACGCTGTTTTGGCTGATCTGCATCACAGTGTTCACCACTTCTTGTCGATGTAGTCGGCACCAGCAAGCTCTCCCTCTCATCGCAACCCATCACCCCACAGCATGGCGTCCGAACGCACACCCCTTCTCTCCTCGGCGGGGAGCAGCACGCTCGCCTCCCCGTCCGTGGACACCAGCAAGTTTGTGACCCCGCCCCTCCCCGCCGTACCTCGTAGCCCGCAGGCGGCTGTCCACTTCCGCAGCCGCCCGCTCAAAGAGACCATGACACGCACTCGCCTCGTTGTCATTCTGTGAGCCCGCCGCCTGCGGCGCTAACGCTCAGCGCCGGCATCTGGTCCTCCAACTTCGCCTTCGCGCTGCAGTCAACCGCGATCCCGACGCTCGCGCCCACCATCGCAAGCAGTTTCCAACACGCCGAGCTCGCCGCCTACCTCGGAAGCGTGTTCACGTTAGCCAATACGGCGGGCATTCCCGTGTATGGCGTGCTGATTGACGCACTGGGCCGGCGCTTCGCCATGCTGACGGCGTGCGCATTCTACGGCGTCGGGAGCGCCGCGTGCGCCGTAGCGCCCGGGATGTGGTGGCTCGTGGCCGCGCGCGGCCTCACGGGCCTCGGCGGGGGCGGACTGCTTACCGTTTCTGCTGTGATCTGTACCGACCTCGTCGCCCTACATGAGCGCGGGTTCTACCAAGGTGAGTGAGCGATCAAAATGGAGTCCGGCCCAGCTCCAGCTAATCTCAGGCCTCATGATGACCGTCTTCGGGGTTGGCGCTGCTCTCGGCGGGCCCACCGCCGGCCTCCTGGCTGATCGCTACGGCTGGCCTCTGGCCTTTTGGTCGCAGTTGCCCGTCGTCCTGTTCTGCGCTACGATCGTGTCCCTCTTCCTCCCCGAGCCGCCCATCCCGCCTACGCACTCGTCGTTGCTCCACGGCCTCCTCTCTCTGGACTGGGCCGGCGTCTCCCTCCTGTTGGCCAGCACTGCCTCCCTGATTCTCGGGCTGAGCTTCCACACATCTTACTTCCGCCCATGGTCTGACCCCTCCGTCTGCGGCCTCCTCGCCACCTCCGCTGTCTCTTTGGGCCTTTTCGTGTGGACAGAGAGGCGGGCGGCGCGCCCCATTGTCCCCATGAGCCTGTTTAAGACCACCCAGCTGCGCGCGATCTGGTCCTCGGCGGTACTGCTCATGGTCGGGTCACAGGCGCTTCTGTTTCACGTGCCCACCTACTTCGCAGTACTCATGGACATGCCAGCTTCCGAGGCTGGGTGGGTTCTCAGTGTGTGCTCCGGCATCGGGCTGAGCACCGGCACCCTTTTGGCTGGATAGTGAGTTGCCCCAGCGGAAAGGCCTGACGCCAGCCACATCCGCCGCGGCGGAAGATACACCGTGCTTGGTGTGGTATCGCTCTTCCCCTCCATGATCTCTGCCTGGGTTGCAGCCGCATGGCGCCCGGGATGGCCCAGTTGGGCATACTACGCCACTATCCTTCCGCTGAACACGGGCTACGCCGTCTTCCTCTGCGTCTCTCTCAGTGAGTCACACTACTGCCCGCAATTAATCGCAGTCGCCCTCATCTCGTCCGTCGACTCGCATGCCATGCCCAAGGCCACCGCGTTGCTGTACACGGTGCGCTCGCTCGGCGCGACCCTTGGCGTCAGCCTGGGCGGTAGTATCCAGGTCGGTGCTCTGGTACGCGCGCTGCGACACCGGTTCAGCGACGTGCCTGGCGGAGAAGGAATTATCGACGCTGTCGTGCACAGCAAGGCGGCGATCAAGCAATTGCCGAAGCGGTACGCTAGAATGGCCCTGGACGCATACGCTATCAGCCTGCGCACCGTGTGGATCGCCAGTGGCTGCGTCGCTGTCACGGCGGTGGTTTGTGCGTCTTTCATCCGGCAGAATGAGATTCACAAGGGAGACGAATCAAGAGACACCGGAGGAGAGGAGGCGGAGGGTGAGGAGGCATCGGCGTGAGACGATCTCAATAGAGCAGAGACTAGATGTGAAGACTGATAGAGACTATCAGGGCATCCTCCGTCCGCGCGTCGACGAGCGCGCTGGATGCAAGGGGCACCATACTCTTCACGCACAAGTTTAGACTCTATGAGATGGTAGGAGGGGCGTGGCCGGATCAGTGGCCTTCTGGTTACCGGCTGGACTCCGAACATCCGATACCGGTCTGCGATGCCTTGGAATGCCGACAGTGGAGGGCATGTCACCCCCTGGCGCGGGATCGTTGATCGCCACTAGCAAGTGCACGAAGTGGGCCAGACGGTCATGACGCCGCGAATGAGCAAGTTGGCGGGGCTGGCTTGGCTTTGCTGACGTTGCTGGCTTGGTGGCGGCGGGTGTCCGGCCGCGACCGCGCCGAGTTTTAGTGGGGTCCAATAGCGGGGATGTGATTGCCGCTCAAGGGCCTCGTGCCACTTCTCAACGCCCTGGGATGACCCACGCGAGACCCTGAAATCATCCACCCCGCGTCGACCTCATCCGCCCACCGCCGTCTCAAAGTTGCCATCTCTCCTCCTCCCCTCCCGCCATCCTCGCACAAATCCACACCCCGCCATGTCCGACGTCAAGCAGTTCACTTACGACGAGCTCAACGAGCACAAGACTCGCGACTCGCTCTGGCTCACCATCCACAAGAAGGTGTACGATGTTACCGCGTTCTTGGATGAGGTGAGTGGCTTGCGGAGGCTGGTTGCAACAGCTCAGAGGAAAGGGAGGCCTGAGCTCGGCGGGGCGTGGAGCGCGGCGAAGGATACGGTGAAAACGAGCGGAGAGAGAGTGCAGAGGGGTGTGGAGAGGAGTGTAGAGAGCGAACAGAGAAGAGCTGGTGGTGATGCAGAAGGAAGGAAGGTGGAGGTGGGGCGATAGGTGGGGCGATGGGCAACGAGCAGCGATACCCGAATTTCTTTGTGCAGCGCTGACAAACAGCACCCGGGCGGTGACGAGGTACGTTTATCCGACGATGTCGAGTGCAAGCATAAACAGGGCGGTGGTCATGAGCGCCAATATGACTGGTCGGCTCACCGCTGTGCTGCGCTCGAGCTGTCATCACCGGGATGAAACTGACCCCAGGTCCTGCTCGAGGAGGCCGGGCGTGACGGCACCGAGGCGTTCGAGGACGTCGGACACTCGGACGAGGCTCGCGACATGCTCCTCAAGATGTACCTCGGCGAGCTGAAGGCTTCGGAGTTTGTGAGTTGCTTTTGCGGGATGAGGGGGAGGTGTGGTGGAGAATGTCGAGAAGGAAGGCGGGTGGATTGTGCTGCACTCGACGCCGGGCTTTATGACGCCTGTATCACGTGGAGTGATACCCGCGACTTGCCTGAGGGACGCTCTCTTCACTTAGCTGGTGTGGTTATCTTTAGTCACCCCGGTCTCTATATATGAGGCGAAGCTGACCGCAGGCCAAGAACACCACCACCGCCGCCAACGGCTCCGCTCAGTCTGGCGCCCCCGCTCCCAGCCCGTAAGTCTGACGACGAGAGAGGTGTGGAGGGAGACGGCTCAAATGGCGCCCCTTATCGACTCGCTTCTTTCATGCTGCGCGCTGCACGCTATACGCCGCGAGAGAAGCGAGAGATGGCGATGGGAAAGTGTAGGGGGGCAGGCTACTACGGCCTTGACAGAAGCCGTTCGCGAGCCCTATCTGTCCACCTCTCCTCCTCCCCACAACACCCCGTGCGGATCTCAGCTCACCCCAGTGTCCGCTTCCTCATGCCCGTCATGGTCCTCATCGCGTGGTGGGTGTACCGCCAGTACTTTGCGTGAGCTATAGATATGTTGTCATGATGTATTGCGTGGGTGTAATGCGTGTGATGGCCAGCAAGAGATAGGTGAGCAGGCGCAACTGATCGACTAACCCGCCTGACCGCAACTCGAACAATCAAGTCCAAGCCGTCTCATGGAGTCACCAGTCTGACCACGATACCAGTCTTCGACACTTGCTTCAAAGCAACAACTCAGAGGCCTCTCATGCCTCTCACACCCTTCCCTCCAATTGGCCTCTAATCCAGCCTGCTGTCGAAAAGTCCTCCTCTGCCGGGTAAGCCAACCTTGACGACGTCGCCCTGACGGCTTCGAGGCCAGGTTTACCCGCGACACTGCAGCGCCTCGGAACAGCGCCTCGGATGCGACAGTGCTGCAGATATCGCCTATCTCGGGCCGTGCTGTTATCGCGCGGTGAGATATCTCCTGTAGATCTTGGCTGGGCTACGCGTAACTTGGCGCACACACTCCACCAACGACAACTGACTTCATTTCGCAAGGTCCTCTCTAGAGCCACACTCGCTCTCTGGTGTGCTACTGTCCGTTAAGCCACGCTGTGTGGTGCTCCGCCACGCTGCACTCCATTTGGCCACAGCTCGTATCAATGCATCCTGTATGAAGGGTATATGGGGTCGTCTAGATTGACACTGTACACACACTCCCGCGCCGCCCGCACCACCCCCTACGCGACAGGCTTCTGCTTGTACGTGCGGCGGAAGAGGTTGTCAATGCCCTCAAGGTAGTATGCGCCGGGCCAGACGTTGTCGAGCGAGCCCTTGGGGAGGTACTCGATGGCGTTGTGGTTGTCCTCGCGGAGCTTGAGGCCGTCGACGTAGCTCTGGCACGGCACGACCTCCATGGCCTCGAGGCGCTCCTTGAGCGCCATCTTGGCGCGGATCGTCTCGGTGGACCCCACGACGCGGAGCGCGAAGAACGACGCTGCGCACCCCGACCCGAACGCGTACATCCCGATCCGCTTGCCGAGGATGTCGGCGGGCGCGACGTTCGCAAGCACGGACGCGAGCGCACCGTACAGCGACGCAGTGTACATGTTGCCGCAGCGCTTGACGCAGTCCGAGCCCGGCACGACCGCGCTTGTGTAGTGCGCGGCGGCGTGCGTCACAAACGCCTTCTCCACCACCTTGTCCGTGTACGTCTTGGTGGGGTCCAGGTCCTTGACCTCGGCGGGGATGGCGGCGAACGACGGGTGCGAAGGGTTGCGCAGGTAGTCGTTGTAGAAGAGACGCGCGTGCCCCTTCTGCACCAGCTTGCCGTAGGGCGAGTGCAGGCACACGTAGTCGAACTGCGTCAGGTCGTTCTCGTTGTCCGCGTGCCCGTTCGCGTGCCCGTTGGCACCGGCCGCAGCCGCCTTCTTCGCGGCGCGGGCGCGCGAAGCAGCAGCCTTCTCCATGTACGTGTTGTACGCGTTGTCCAGCGCACCGAGGTACGCCTTGATGGTCCAGGGGCCGTCAACGGTGGGCTGGGGTTAGCCATAGTTCGAACTGCATCCTCAGGTCTCCACACACAGGTCAGAGAGCTAGGACAGGTGGACTTCAGTGCCGCCGGTCGCGTGTCACGTCGCCTCGCCTCGCCTCCCGTCCACATACCCGCCGCCCCGTGCACCAAAAAATACTCACGTACTCCGCCGACAGGTCGGGCTTGTAGAAGTCCCAGGTGTTGGCAATGTAAGTGCCGTGGACAGCTGGAAATTAGCCACATTCCGCTGTTCCGCCACCGCAATCAGCACTGCACAACCGCACTCACGCTCAAAGACAATAGGCGCGTCGGGGCCGATCAGCATGGCGCACGCGCCCATGCCGCCGACGGGGCGGGCCGAGCCCTCCTTGTAGATGGCAATGTCACCGCACATGACGATGGCGTTGCGGCCGTCCCATGACTCGGACTGCATCCAGTTGATGCAGTTGAAGAGGGCAGCGGTGGAGCCGTAACACGCGTTCTTCGAGTCGATGCCCTCAATGTCGTGGTTGCCGTGCTTGGCGAACAGGTCCATCAAGAGAGTCTTGGTCGACTTGGACTTGTCAATGATCGTCTCGGTGCCGACGTCGAGGCGGCCAATCGACTTGGGGTCGATGTTGTACTTCTCGAGGAGAGACGAGACGACTGTGTGTGAGCTCTCCGCCGCGCCGATGCCGATTGTTCCGCTCAATCATGCCCATGCCCTCAAGGCTGCTCCTCGCACACACAGCCAAGTGCTGGACGCGCCAACGAGCCGGTACAGGGAGCAACCTTCCCCCGTGGTCAAGTGCTTGGGAGCTACCGCTGACCAGCAAAGAGCCAAGCCCCACCAGCAACCCCCGATTACCGCGGCACACGGCTTTGCGCTCCGGCGTCTGAAGGCGAAATGGGCTCGACGCTCATAGCCGTAGTGAGAGACATTGCTTCTGCGCCCGTCTCGGCGCAGGGGGAAGGAAGCCCGCTCCTAGCCACGCGCCTGTGGTTGGTCCGCGGACTCACTCCCCGCAGGCAAATGACATCGCGGAGCCGGCCTGCGCCCAATTGACCTGCGGCATCGGAGCTGTGGTGATCGCGATGTCGGTACAGCAACGCTCGCTGAAGCTGAGTCATGGCGTGACGGCCAACTGCGCAGGCAGAGGATCAGCCGACCTCCACCCCACAGCTCCCGTCTCGGCGGCGATCCTCCACCTCAAGCCACCATTGTTCCCTCTTCCCCGACAAAGCTTCGTCCCATCTCGACTCACCAGTCAGAGCGACCGAGTTGATGTCCTCACTGCGGCGTCAGCTCATGCTCGCTTTCTCGCCACTCCCAGCTCCCCGGCGCGTCCTCAGCTGCCGACCCACACCCCTCCACCCAGCACCCATGGTACTCACACGTCGTCGGTGAAGGCCATAAACTTCTGGCCGAGGCCAATGGTGTACTTGCCCTTGGAGACGCCGTCAAAGTCCTCGAGGTCGTCCTCGGAGATGCAGCGCTTGGGGAAGTACATCTCGACGGCGTGGATGCCGACGTTCTGGGGGCGAGCGGGGATGTCGAAAGCGGCGACCATGGTGGATGAGGAGATTGGATGGGGGTTGACAACAGCGAGACGATATTAGAGGAGGAGAAGGAGGAGGAGAGCAGAGTAAAAGCGGGAGAGTCTAATCTGTTGAGAGATGAGAGAGTAGAGTAAGAGAGAGCCAAGAGAGTCGATGGTCGATGATGAGACGATGCGGGGTCTGCCTGGGTGTACGAGCTGCCTGCTGTCTGCTGCCTACCTGCTGCACCTGGTGATAGATTTCTGGTCGTACGGTGAGATGGAGGCTCTGGCGCGCGGATTCCTCCTAGTTTTGGGGGAGACGCGCTTTTTTCCTCTCAGGGCAACATTGACCTCCCGGGAACGACACGCCTCGTCTCGTCCTCTCCCTCTCCCGGTCCCTCTCGCGTCTCGCGCCTCTCATCTCTCTGCCGTCGGTAGCCTGCCGCGACTCCTCTTGCATCTAGACCACCGCACAGGCGGACGTCGAGCACCGCGCGGCCCTTGCTCCCCAGATTATACTAGCCACCCACTGTCCAACGCGGTCATCTCCTTCACCACGCACACGCGGCCATGCTGCACGCGGCGCTATCCGAGGCCGGAGGCTGATCTCCTCATGTTGCCTCTATGCCCCCTCACGCCAGTCTGCGTCCCGCTCAAGGCACATCACTACTCTCTTGTGTTGCAGCTCGGCTGTGTGTATCATCTCGATCAGCACGCGGCCGCCACGCAGCCTGCAGACAGGGATGCGCTCCCGGACCGTCACCCCACTCAAGTGCTACTACCGCATAGAATCTGTCGTTCTGTCGAGGGCATGGGATGGGCCGATGAACAATCGTCGTGCCATGTGTCTAAACCTATGAGTGGCTTGCAACCTCGCAACCTTGCGGCTCGGACGTGGACGAGACCGAAAGCGCTACAGGCCTACAGGGGAGAGTGACTGTTCGGTGGCGCGTGTGGTCCGCCGGGCCTGACCGGTCCGTGTGTCAGATGAGAGAGCGTGATCGCGTCTGGATGCCCACGTCCTACCACCTGTTCCTGCCCAAGCCGACTGTTCTTTCCTGCGGCGTCGCGAAACCTGACGCACTTTTGTCTCGTACGATTTTTGAACAGTCTCGCTGATTAGTGCCCGCCATGCCACGCCCCTGCATCCCTTATCACTTGACTTGCCCTCATCCGCCCCCGCCCGGATCGGCAATCCACCGTGGGAAGGGCCGCTCATGTCGGAGAATGGCGCAATCTCCTTCGCGTGGGTTTGCTTCCGGACGCCGGCGGGGAGCTCATTGCGTGGAATTGCCACCGCCCAATTAGGCTTCCGCGGAACAGGCTTGCGGCATATTTCGCAATCCTATCCCCCATCTTCCACGCGATTCAACGCCTAACTTTTACACGTGGTCGGCCACATGGAAGTTGCAAGAATGAAATGACGTCATGACGTCAGTGGTGCGCATTGTACGTCGAGAGCACTCCAGTGCTATTGGTGATTTGGTGATGGAGGAGACGCCACATGCCCGCATAACCGGCTCTTACGGCGCTGCGAGTCTACGTCCACTCCGCCGTCTCTTCCTACTTAAGCCTTGATCCAAGTCAGCAGACCTCTTCATCTTCCACATCCAACTAGACTTATCACTAGATTCTCAACTTCACTTCTACCAAACCTCACTACAGCCCCAACCCGCCCACCATGTCTAACGAGGTCCTCACTCTCATCTACCGTCCCCACGAGCACGCCGACGAGTACATGGTCTTCGTCGACGACGACAAGGAGTTCAAGGAGTGGCGCGCCCAGCCGGAGGGAGGCAAGTCCATCGCCCTCTCCCGCTTCATTGGTAACTTTGCTGTCGTGAGTACCCAGCGACTCCCCTGTCCTCGTCTCCGTCATAGTGGCGATCCCTCCACCCTCCTTTATCCTTCCCGCTGACACGCAGTACAAGAGTATCACTGGTGGTGTGACCGGCGTTCTCCAGCCCATTTCGAAGCAGGACCTCGAGACCGCCTTCTTCAGCGACGACAAGAAGGTCAAGGACAAGTCTGTCGAGTGAGTGCGCTCGGACCAGCAGAGGTCGGTACACGCTGACGACCAGGGCTGCCATCCAGATCATCCTCCAGCACGGCCGCGAACAGAAGCAGACGTTCAAGGCATCCGAGCGCTCAGACTTTAACACGTCGCGCGGCGGCGCCGGCGACAACCATCCCGGCACCCAGCGCCGCTAAGCGCTATGAGAACGAGGGGCCGGCGAGCCCGCAGTCCAGCAGTCAACAATCGAGATATGCAGTCATGACATAGAACGGGGGAGGCGTCGGAGAAGCTCACGAAGATCACGAACTGATGACTGCCATCCTTCCACCGCCTTCGATGGCAACAATGACGGACGGAGCACGGAGCGGACAGCATGCAGACCGGCGTCAATGACGTCTGACAGCCCTCGATACAGGGCCGAGGACGCCGCCCCGGTCCGTTATGACGTCCGCTGGATGTGATTGGCGGCGGCGCGATCGGCAATGACTCGGCGACGACCCTGATGCGGCTGTGGTTGTTCGTGTCCGAGAGCGAGATCGCGTTGTTCCAGAGCTCGGTGCACTTGCCTGCCGCGGAGACCTAGAGATACCCACGCCACGAGGCCATTGTCCGGTCAGAATGTGGAACCTCCGCTGAGTCCGAGCACTGACCTTCGAAGCGCTAACCCGTACGGTGTAGAATGAAACGCAGGCTCCCGCAACCGCGCCATCAACCGCGCCCACACCATGCGAAGAGGATCCTATGCTACATATGCTACAAACCGTACCCATACCCATACCCTCTCGTGACGACGCCCTCCGGCGGCGTCCAATACTGCGCGGGCGGAAACGCTCTACGGCGCTTCGCGCGCCGCGCCACTCGCCGCTCCTCCTTCTCCCTCTCCTTCTCATCCACCTCGATCTCCCTACACAACCTGAGCGCAGGCACAGCAACGCATTTGTGCTCCACCGGCGCGGCGTACGCCAGAAAAACGGGCGGCGCGCGCTCCGCGCGCCAGACCCCTACCTCAGGCTCTTTATTCAAAACGGGAGGTGGATCGGGCGCCGTCACAGCCGATTCTGCAGCGATCCGCCGAATCCGCTGCACGACGGCGGGCGGCAAGGGACGCACGCGCGGGTTCGGCGTGAGCTCGTAGCTCTCGACCGTCGAGAGCGAGATCGGGGCCACCGCGCCGAGCAGCCGGAACGCTGTTGTCAGATTCGGTGGGTAGGCGACGTACGGACTGCCTCCGCCTCGGCGGGGGCGGCGTGGGCCGGTGCCTCGCCCTTTGCGGCCGCCGCGGCGGCTTTGAGTGCGCGCTCGCGCTCTTTCCGCCGCTTCTTCTTCGCGTTCTGCCGCTCGGCTTTGGACAGTGGCCTGTCCGGATCTTCAGCTGGGGGCGGGGAGGGCGAGGGGACGGAGATGGGAGGGGGAAGAGGGAGGGAGAGGGCGGGGAGGGCGGAGGCCATAAGACTGTCGTAGGCTGCGAGGAGGGATGGGCTGGGCGCATACTCGGTAATCTTGTCGTTTCCGTCGCTCGCCTGCGACGGCGACGGGGACGTCGAGCCCGACGCCGAGCACGCGCGCGAGGTCGAGACGTCGCTGGACATATCAGCGAGGTATGAGGAGCGGACGAGGGATGGCCCACCTCCACTCTGAAATTCAGACGTTTGCCACCGCACCCTAACACCGAATTTCCGCCGCCACCCACCCCTTGAAGTCGCCGCGACTGTTGTGATCCTCCATCACACCATGAGCTACAATAACATCGGCTTGTCGACGGCCCGCGGGAGGTGAGTGCGCTGGGGGTTGTACGATCGACGGTTTCCAAACGCAGCGCGCCGACTAGTTGCCGCGAGTGGCGGGCATGATTAGTCGCGGTATCCCACCTTCCTCTGAAGTGGCGCGCGCTAACGCCAGTGGCACCAATGGTTTCATTCAGCGCAATGCGTCGGCGCTGCAGATCCGGCAGGGCCCGCCAGGCGGCGCCGCGGCAGGATACAAGAACTACGAGGACTACTTGAACGAGATCGCCAAGCCGCCCGTCCACCGCGCGCCTGACGCAGGCATTCTCGAACACGAGCGCAAGCGCCAGATCGAGATCAAGTGTCTTGAGCTGCGGGACAAGCTCGAGGACGATGAGTGAGTGTGGATAATTCGGCCGCCGCGAACTCTCGCGGTGCACGCCGCCGGAACGGCGAGACTGAGACAACGTTCCTGGGACGGGCATGGACGTCGAGAGCATCTTGAGTGGCGCTGACTTCAGTGTTGACGAGGACGAAATTGAGGAGCAGGTATCCGCCCTGCGGGCCAAGCTGCAGGCCGCCGGCGCGCCGATCACGGGCCGGCGCGCGACGGACTCGCACTCGGTCGCGGCGGCAAAAGAGGCCGAGATGGGCCGCCTGAAGCGTGCACTCAATATCCGCGCGGACTACGAGGAAGGCAAGGCGTTCCACCGCGAAACGGAGGAGGAGCGCGCTGAGCGCATCGCCGAGAAGCGCGCGCGCGAGGAGGCGCGGATCGAGGAGGCGCGTGAGCGCGAGCGCGCCGAGGCAAGGCGCAAGAAGGAGTTCGAGAAGAAGGAGCGCCTCCGCCGCCGCGAGGAGTACTATGCTCGCCGGGACGCGGAGAAGAAGCGCCGTCGCGAGGAAGACCGCTCGCGCTCGCGCTCGCCTGTGCGCCGCAGGCGCGCCGACTCGGATGACGACTCGCCGCCTTCCCGCCGCGACGCCTCGCCCCGCCGGGCGGCTCGTGACGACTCGCGCACGCCACCTCGTCGTCGTGACTCTCGTGACAACTCGCGCAAACCTCCTCGCCGTGACGAGCGCGACGACTCGCGCTCCCCACCCCGTCGCGCAGACTCACGCGACGAATCCCGCTCTCCTCCCCCACGCCGTCGCAACGACTCGCTCTCTCCTCCTCTTCGCCGTCGCGACGATTCACGCTCGCCAACACCCCGCCGTGCCGACTCGCGTTCGCCGTCACCTCCACCTCGGCGGCGCGACGAGTCGGACACACCGCCCCGTCGGAGGCGCTACTCTTCTGGTTCGGATCGTGACTAGTGTGCTGGAGAGGCGATGGCGGTTGAGGATCCAGTCAGTGTCGGTTCGCATTGTTCATTCGCAGATTCATGTCATGTGTAGCGTCGCCCATGCTCGTGCGGGTGCTTCCGGTGACTGACTGCTTCGCTGACCGTCGCCCATTACTAACCACCCACCATTCAGGAACGCGACATAGCACAGTATACCTACATGCACGTATTCATAACAAGACAGGGCTAGGTACAACGTTCGGCTTGCCAGAAGCCTACCCGCGCACGAGGCGGGACAGCACGCTAGTGCGTGAGCGCAGAGCGCAGAGTAAGAAACGGGGGATACCTACGCGAGCGCGCCACGATCGGCGCCCTTCTTGTTCTCGGGCGGCTGTGCCCCGACACCGCCCTTCTTCCACGCGACGTACTCGTCGTACGAGACGGCGACCTTCTCACTACCGTACACCTTCGTGCTGATGCTGTTCCACAGCTTATCGCCGACGGCGACGCGCCCGCGCCACCCGGCCTTCTGGATGAGCGACATCACGGCCTGCTCCTTGCTCCAGCCCTGCTCGGGCGCCACGTCCGGCAGGTACGTCGCGGACAGGTTGCGACCGGATGTGGGGTGTGGGAAGGTGATGTGGATGCCGTGCGTGCCGAGCTCCCACGACAGCGGCGTGGCGACGGGCGTGAAGGGCGTAAGGAGGCTCACGCCGCAGCCGAGGGCAGGCAGCTCCGCCGCGCGGATTGGAGAGAAGCGGTGGTCCTCGAGCGCCGCGACGAGGGCATACTCTGCCAAGCCCTTGTCAAGGCGCATCGGCGTGAAGTTGCCTATACAGCCGCGAAGTGCTTTACGGGGCTTGAGGGTATTCCAAGTGACGAAGAGGGCGCTGGAGTCAGCTTTCGCCGAGCTGGCCAGCGTGGACTCACTACTTGTCTTTCCCATTTGGGAATGGTGGAGGTGCGGCCTCGCGCCGCTCATAGTGCGCTGTGAGCACATCAAAGGCGTAGAATGCGTGTTCGCGCGTGCAAATTTCATCTGGAGGAGTGACTGGGGTCGCTGGTGTGGTAATGCCAGGCGTTGGGGTGTCACGATGAGACAAGGCAGGTGTGGGGGCGAGGGTTGATGACCCTGATGTGGGGGCGGGGGCGGGAGGGGCCATCTCAGACAGCGCTGCGGCAGGCATGGTGCTAACGCGGGGTAGAGAGTAGAGCGTTAAGGCTTGCGGATGCGAGGACGAAGACTGAGTTGCCAGGTGCGGAGAGGGGGAAGACCCGAGGGAGGTGGTGGCCGGTGAGGAGGGAGAGGGGGGG